ATAGTTGAGGCAGGAGGCATTATTTTTAAAGAGAACTGTCCAATTGGGTCCGTACCTGTTATATCTGCTCCCATCCCAAAAGTTCTATTTAAAGTTGTGTGTGCAGAAGTGGGGACATTTATGGAAATAGTGACAGGGTTACACTAATGTAATTTGCAATTTGATGGGGGAATCCCTTTCAAAAAGTGGATTTTAGGTTTTAATATGCTCCCCAGATAGCTTCCTGACGATGTCCGACCTTGATACTGGGTTGTCCACTAGACATCAATCCACCTATAACAGGGACCTCCCCTGAAATGTGGGGGGCAAAAAGTGCCAATTGGATTGACAAGGGTTTTTGAAATGGGGAGAATAGGGGCTGAGATATTTATAAGCCGTGGAAAGCTGCCTTTGGTTCTCCAGGCTTCCCCATAATATAACCTGACAAGCATCAAAAGTAATGGTTTGGGCCCGGCGCGGTGGCTCACGCCTGTAATCCTAGCACTCTGGGAGGCCAAGGCAGGTGGATTGCTCAAGGTCAGGAGTTTGAAACCAGCATGAGCGAGACCCTGTCTGTACTAAAAATAGAAAGAAACTAATTGACCAACTAAAAATATATACAAAAAATTAACCGGGCATGGTGGCGCATGCCTGTAGTCCCAGCTATTCGGGAGGCTGAGGCAGCAGGATAGATTGAGCCCAGGTGATTGAGGTTGCTGTGAGCTAGGCTGATGCCAGGGCACTCACTCTAGTCTGAGCAACAAAGTGAGACTCTGTTTAAAAAAAAAAAAAAAAAAGTAATGGTTTGCAGTGCCATGGAACTAGGAACATTGATTGTAAAAAGACTTGTTGATGATTGGAAAAGGGAAATAAAGGCAATACTAATTAAACCTTTTGGAAGCAGGCCGGGCGTGGTGGCTCACGCCTGTAATCCTAGCACTCTGGGAGGCCGAGGCGGGTGGATTGTTCGAGATCAGGAGTTTGAAACCAGCCTAAGCAAGAGCAAGACCCCGTCTCTACTATAAATAGAAAGAAAATTAATTGGCCAACTAATATATATGGTAAAAATTAGCCAGGCATGGTGGCGCATGCCTGTAGTCCCAGCTACTCGGGAGGCTGAGGCAGGATGATTGCTTGAGCCCAGGAGATTGAGGTTGCTGTGAGCTAGGCTGATGCCATGGCACTCACTCTAGCCTGGGCAACAAAGTGAGACTCTGTCTCAAAGAAAAAAAAGCAAAAAACCTCCAGGGGTCCTTCCTCCTGCCCTTGTTGAATATTAAACACCCTTCCTATGTTTTGAGAATGGGGAACTCTTAACATTGGCATGTCGGTATAAACCCCTGACTAGGATCTAGTTCAAGACTAGATACCGCCTTCAGTCATTTGAGGCAGCCACAGAACCGTGGATCAGGACTCAGGACTTCACAATAGCTTAGTGCCCAAGAAATGTCTCAGTCACACACAATGCACCCTTTGGAATGTCCTGACCACCAAGGAAATACTTTGTCACCCCCCCCCCCCCCCCCACGACTTTTCTTACCTTGGTCTTTGAATGGATTTACCTAGTCTCAGCAGTTCCTGCTCAGGCCTTTTCCCCTGCGTTGCTGAGAGCCAGTGTTCATTCACTGCTTAGGAGAGTCTCAATCACCTGGATCCCAAGGGCTGCCACAATGAGGTAGCAGGATACCCTAGGAGCAGGGATCCAGTTCTCCTTCCAAAGGCAATGGGCCATCCCAGATGAGCCCCCAGATTGTTACAAGTAACCACGGTGCAATTAAGAAAATAGACATTGCAAATTGTCTCAGCAAGGCAAAATCTTTACTTCTGATTAGAAGGGCCCATAGCAGCAGCAAAAGCAGCCAGCCAGCCAGCATATGCTACAGGTGAATCACATGCTTCACTTTTTTATCCCTAATGCAGATCTAGGGCCCTGTCTCATCCCATTAGTAAGGACTTTGACTGCACAGTCTTGCCCTTACCCAATTAGCTAAGGCGTGTTGTCAGGGTAAAAGGGAGAACAAGGAAGGTAAAGTTAGTAAATGGGGATTTTTTGGTATTGCAATAAAGGAGATTAAACAAAGGTTATAATTATTGTACAATTTGTGCTATGTGCTAATAATTCCATAAAGCTGGATATCAGACAGAATATTCCTTTGGCAGAAAAGCTTAGGCCAAGGTCATCTCCTCCTACACCCTGATCTGTTTGCCAATATGTTCAGAAATTATGATGTTTCACCCCTAAATTCTTAGCATTTATTTCTTAAGAAAAAGGACATTTTCCTATGTGACCACAGTAGGTCACATAGAAAATCCTCACACCCAAGAAATTTGACCTTGATACAATATTTCTACAGTTCATATTCAAAATTTTGCCCTTTAAAGCTTTTTTCTTTTTTAAAATCCAGGTTCAGGCCAGGCACGGTAGCTCATGCCTGTAATCCTAGCACTCTGGGAGGCCTAAGGCCAGAGGATTGCTCGGTCCGGAGTTCAAGACCAGCCTGAGCAAGAGCAAGACCCCGAATCTACTATAAATAGAAAGACATTAATTGGCCAACTAATATATATAGAAAAAATTAGCCAGGCATGGTGGCACATGCCTGTAGTCCCAGCTACTTGGGAGGCTGAGGCAGAAGGATTGCTTGAGCCCAGGAGTTTGAGGTTGCTGTGAGGTAGGCTGAAGCCAGGGCACTCACTCTAGGCTGGGCAACAAAGGGAGACTCTGTCTCAAAAAAAAAAAAATCCAGGTTCAAAGCAAGAATCGTGCATTACATTTGGTCTCTTTAGCCTTCTCTGATCTGGAACACTTTCCTGACTTTTGTTGCTAGTCTTTCATGACACTAACATTTTGAAGCATCCAGGCCAGTTGTTTTGTAGAATATACCTACCAGTCTAGCTTTGTCTGAATGTTTCTTCATTATTAGATTTGGGCTTGACATTTTTGCAAGAAACTACAATGGTGATGTCGCATCTTGCTAGATTTTCTCTTTGTGAAATTCCAAATAAATTCATCAAGGCTGAATGTGCGTTTGTGTATGTGTGTGTACTTTGCTGGTGCCTTAATCACGTGTGTGTCATATTAATAATCATTGCTACCATCCTGGATATCATACAAAGCATTCATCTCTGTATTGACTTAGAAGCAGGGCTTTGCGTGCTATAATGCCAAACTTTCCCCCACTACTGTTAATCCATCAATACATCCTCACCAACACTTACTGTCCATTCTTTAATTTTTGCCAAACCTGTAGGTGTAACATGATAACTTGTGTTTTTTGTTTGTATTGACTACTAAAGAGTTCAAGCATTTTTCTTTATGTTTATTGGCCATTTATGTTTTCTCTTCTCTGAGAGTAGTTTATGCCTTTTGTTCACTTTTTGGAGGTTGTCTTTTTCTTATGTTTTTTTTTTTTTTGAGACAGAGTCTCACTTTGTTGCCCAGGCTAGAGTGAGTGCCATGGCATCAGCCTAGCTCACAGCAATCTCAAACTCCTGGGCTCAGGCAATCCTGCTGCCTCAGCCTCCCGAGTAGCTGGGACTACAGGTATGCACCACCACGCCCGGCTAATTTTTTCTATATATATTAGTTGGCCAATTAATTTTCTTTCTATTTATAGTAGAGACGGGGTCTTGCTCTTGCTCAGGCTGGTTTCGAACTCCTGACCTCGAGCAATCCGCCCGCCTCGGCCTCCCAGAGTGCTAGGATTACAGGTGTGAGCCACTGTGCCCAGCCTTTCTTATGTATTTTTAAAGCTTTGTGCATTCTGGATAACTAATCATTTATAAGTTATCTATGCCTCAACTCTCATGAAATAGTATCACATAAGTCTAAGCATTTGGATACCGTAGCTAGAGGTTCTGCGTTCAAATTTCAGTTCTGTTACTTCCTGTGTGACTCTGAACAAATGATTTAACCTCTCTGCTTTTGTTTCCTCATCTGTAAAATGAGAGTGATAATGGTACTTATCTCATAGGGCAGTAAGGGGACTAAAGGGAACATGTAATGTGTCAGAACAGTTCCTAGCGTGTAGTAAAGAGTAAAATAAGTGTTTGGTGTTATTTGCTTCTTCCATTTTGTAGTGCCCATGTTATTTTGAGATTCAGTGGACTCATGAAAGTGCTCATCTTACACGTGGTCGCCTGCCCCATTTTGGGGTCTCCAACCATAAACTGTTTCCCTACAGCCATGTGTCACAACACACATACTCCTAACTGAGGTGGCTCCACCTTATATAGGCAAGTGTGTACAAAGTGCTGTCCACTCCTGGAAGTTACTTTAGGCCAATTAAGTTTTTCATCGTGAATGGGAACAACATTCTGCAACCCTGAAGGGCCGCCCCCTAAATCGAGAGAGATTAATGCCAATACGTCTTCTGCCCCACTTTATTTTTATTTATTTATTTATTTATTTTGAGACAAAGTCTCGCTTTGTTGCCCAGGCTAGAGTGAGTGCCATGGCGTCAGCCTAGCTCACAGCAACCTCAAACTCCTGGCTCAAGCAATCCTTCTGCCTCAGCCTCCCAAGGAGCTGGGACTACAGGGATGCGCCACCATGCCTGGCTAATTTTTTCTATATATATTAGTTGGCCAATTAATTTCTTTCTATTTATAGTAGAGACGGGGCCTCGCTCTTGCTCAGGCTGGTTTCGAACTCCTGACCTCAAGCAATCCGCCCGCCTAGGCCTCCCAGAGTGCTAGGATTACAGGCGTGAGCCACCTCGCCGGGCCTTGTGCCCCACTTTAAAGACCCACAAACACCCTAAAGATATTTCACCCAACATTTTTTTTTTTTTAAATTTTAAAGAGATTTATTCTGAGCCAAATTTGAGGACCATGACCCGGAGCCACTGCCAAGAGGCCTTGGGCAAGTGGACTCCTTCACCCAACTTTTGAGACCTAACAGTATCATGATTTATTCTACAATGATTTAAGAAAGTCTCTATTTATGATGGGGGCCTCTATTACCTCACAGCAACCTACCCTCCTCCCCACCTCTCTCCCTGGGCCCTCTTCCCTTAACTTGGGCCTTTCTTTGTGTAGTGCTTCTAGTAAACTACAAGGGCACCCAGAGGCATGGAGCAAATGCCCCTTAACTGAACGAATGAATGGGGAAGGAAGGAATGTTCTGTGTTGCTAGGCAGAGGTGAAGAAAGGAGGAAAGGAATGTTGGATGGGCAGCAGGGCGCTGATTGGCTGGTCTGCAGAATGCGGCAGGGCTACAGTAAGCAACGTAGCGGAGCCTTTCTTTAGACCAGGTAGTGGCTGCCCAGCGGGGCCGGACGTAGTACGTTAACAGCAGCCCTGCCTACTGTGCGGGTCCGAGGCGGGCGTGGCAGCCCTTCGGGCTCCGCCCCGCCCCGGCCCCCAGTGCCTGAGCCACGCCCCAAGCGGAGGCCACGCAGGCGCCTGCGCACGACGGGCCGAGTGCCACCAGCAGCTCGAAGCTCGGCTCCGAAGATGGCGGACCGCGGTGTTGGCGCTGGCGGCAGTACATCCCTGAGGGGACTACGGGAACGGATGGGTGAGCGGGCCAGCGGCTTGCGGTGGCGGGGCTGGGGTCTGCGTGGGAGGAGGGGCTAGCCCGGCCCCGGGGGCCGTTGGAGCAGTGGGGTCTGAGCCAGAAAACTTTTCTCCAGAGTCGCCTCGCGCCGCGCAATCCTTCCCTCACCTCTGAAGGAGCCCCCTGGGATGGGACAGGGAGTCGTCTTGGGCCGAGGGCGGGAAGGGAAACGACCTACCAACGCCGCCAACGACCCAACTGTGGCCACCAACTCCAGACCCCCGTGGGCGAGGCGCGAGGGAACTAATGCGCGCTGCTGGGGCGGGCGGGGTGGGGGTGGCTGGAACCCCGGAGCCCGCGGATGGCCCGGAGCCCCGCCTGCCATTGGGGGGCGATGGACGCCAGGGAGACCGCGCGGAACTGACGCGCCGCCGTCCGGTCGCCCGCCTGGACCCCCGCGCCCAGCGCCGCCGCCTCGGCCAGGGCAGTCCTTCCAGGCTCGGAAAGTTTGAGTTTTCTCCTAGCCCCGGGCGTTCGCGGGTTGAGGTTCTCTTACTGTCGCAGTCCTTCCCGCTCCCAAAGGCTTGCCTCCCGCACGCTCCAGGGCAAGGTCCAGCGGGGGGGGGGGGGGGGGGCTTTAAAAGTTGGGATGAAACTTGACTGTCTGCATCTCCTAATGTGCTTGCTGTAGCGCCTGACTTCGACAAGATGTCACCTTCCTTGGGACAACTTGAAGTCCCTAGGCTGAACTGAGCTAGAATCAGCACTTCTGAGTGCTTTCTCTTCAATGGGTCCCATCACCAAAAAATCCTCCCCCCACACCTTAAAGCCATTAACCTTACAGAATTTGGCAGCTCGTTGCTTGGTCCAGGAAACTGCTCCACTACCTGAGCCAGATAGTATTTCTTGCTTGTGGGAGGTTGCTTGTAGCCTGCCTTCAGGCTAGTTTTCTCTGCTATGAGCATGAATAAAACGATTTTATTGAAATCTTTAGGGATGTTTTTCACTTGCAATTAAAAATTTTATTTTGGCTGCAATTGGGAGGCCATACGTTATTTAAGAACACTTTGAATCAGCTCTCCAAAGAGTGTGTCATAAGCAAATACTAATTTTCTTCATTCCATTAGAGAAGACTTTCTGTCTAGCTTATGGTTCACGTAGACATAGTCTCCAATAAACTATTGTATTCCTTATGATACTGAGGGCTCTCTGACACTGCTTTACTTCAGTGATTTAAATTAACCAGCATTTATTCTAATATATCGGATAATCCCCTAAAAGCATGTGTATATTGGATGTTGAAAAGTATTTTAGAATTGTGTAGGGGACAGTTGCTTGAATTCATAGCATTTCAAGCCAAAAACTTAAAAGCCATGCAAAAAAGGCTTAACCCAGGACCCTACTTTACATCCTTGCTGCCCATTTCACTTAGGAATGGGAAACACCACATGTTAGACTTTCACAGAGCACTAGCTTGACTAGAACTGCCCTCCTGGTCTCAGCATTTTCCTGAAGGGTCAGTAAGGCAATGAAATGTTTTTGCTAAAAGGTCAATTTTATCTCCTGCTGGAAGCCTGGCTGCAAGATTTAAAACAGTGTCCTGGACAAATAACTTATTTAGGTGCACAGCACAGTCTGCATACATTTATTTTCTGTATTCATATATGTGTGTTAATGTATGCCTATATAAAATTACATTTATTGAATTTTCTGTGGATAGCACTGTGCTAAGGTTGTCCAATACCAAAGAAATATTTTAACAAAGCATCTGTTTCATATTTTTATGTAGAATTTTTTTTTGTTTTTGAGACAGAGTCTCACTCTGTTGCTCCAGCTAGAGTGCCATGGCATCAGCCTAGCTAACAGCAACCTCAAACCCCTGGGCCCAAGCGATCCTACTGTCTCAGCCTCCGGAGTAGCTGGGACTACAGACATGTGCCACCATGCCTGGCTAATTTTTTCTTTTCTTTTTCTTTTTTCTTTTTTGAGACAGAATCTCACTTTGTTGCACAGGCTAGAGTGAGTACCATGGCATCAGCCTAACTCACAGCAACCTCAAACTCATGGGCTCAAGCGATCCTCCTGCCTCAGTCTCCTGAGTAGCTGGGACTACAGGCATGCACCACCATGCCCGGCTAATTTTTTCTATATGTTTTTAGTTGGCCAATTAATTTCTTTCTATTTTTAGTAGAGAATCGGTCTCCATCTTGCTCAGGCTGGTTTCGAACTCCTGACCTCCAGCTGTCCGCCTGCCTCGGCCTCCCAGAGTGCTAGGATTACAGGAGTGAGCTACTGCCCGGCCTAGAGCTGTAGAAATCTTAGAAGTTATCCAGTCCAACATACAGAGTGCCAGCTATAAGATCCTAGGCAGCTTCTACAACTTGAATGTTTGCTCTAATGAGAAGCTTAATATTTTTCCAGGTAGCTATTTCATTGTAGACAGCTCTAAATGATAGAAAATTGTTTCTAAGACATCAAGACAAGCTGTCTTTGGTTGAACTTGGGATCTTCTGAAAGTCTCTCACCCCTCTGACTTTGGCTATTGTTGTGTGAGGCAAAATTCCATGGATCTGCCTTATTTTTGTGGTTCCCTGATCACAGATTTCTTTGTTTTCCTATTATTTTTTCTTAATACTTTTATATTTCAAAATAAAGTTGCTTTTTAATGTACAATTAAATGCTAGGTTCACCACTCACTACCTGTGTGAGTGGGGAAGTTATGTTTAGCTTTAGTTTTCTCATCTTTAAAAAAAAATTTTGGGGGAAAATAATGTGTACTTTATAAGATTGTTGTAAGAATTAAATGAGGTAATACAAATCAATTTTGTAAGTGGTGAAGTGATATAGAATATTTGTTATGGCAATTTTTAGAAAAGCACTATAAATACAGGCTAAGATTCATAATTCAGTTTTAGTAATAAAGTACACAATTTCTTATTTAATCTCCAGACAGAAGGTAACTTTTACTTTAATTTGGGGTTTAGAATTAGTGTAAGAACTACAGAAATACTGTATTATGCTTACTATACTTTGCTGTTACTTTAATTGAATATTAAGTAAATTCCTTCATTTAAATGCATGTTAAGTAAATTCTCTCATTCAGTGAAGTTGAATAAAATGTTGACTCTGTTAAGGCCAGACATAGATACTTTCTCCCATTGCCTGGACATTTTAAGTAATTTTTAGAGCCATGTCTGTGAATGTACTTCTTGCTAGTAGAAATTTGGATATAAAGATGTAAAAATCAGAGTTGATATTATTACCACATTAACATTTGTATGATTTGGTTCATTATTCCCACCATAGTTACTTAAAGTTATTTCTGTTTAATAAAATCTTGAAATAGTCTGGTAAAAATGTGCATTTTGAGAGAAATTGTCAGCTAAATTGTGTCAAGTACACACTATCCTTAGGACTTCTAAGCAGGAGAACTGAATGTGCAAAAACAATACAATGTACTTTATTGTTTTCTTGGTGCTCACATAAAAATGTTGCAAGTGGGGGTTATGTGGGAGGGTTTAATTTATAGACTGTATTTAAGAATTTTTGTTAATACACTGGTGCCCACATTCAGAAGATAATTGTGATCCACAGACCAGTAGTTAAATATTAAGCTGAGAAGGGTCTAATCTTCAAATTTAGCTAGGTCACAGATTATCTGAGCTATTAGGTCTCTGCAGTTTAAAAATATCCTTTTTTTCTTCTTTGAAATGATGATCCCTATGGCAGCAATTGTGATGTCACTTTCAAGGTTAGTGTATAAAATAATTCTCAGATATCTTTCCTCAGTGGCAACTAACATTTCAGAATCCATTCATTCTATAAGTGCCAGGAAAGCCCCTCTATTCTCTTGGTTATGTTAACTGCCCATCTTCAACTGTGCTATTTTCTGGATATATAGAAACCAGACTTGTATGCAGTATTTTAGGGGCTTACTTCCTGTGCTTTTTATACAAGGGTAGAACACAGTTAGTTTTCAGTATTGTCCATGCCCTTCCTGGAGATACACAGTACTGTGGGGCATTTTTAGATAGAGCTATACAATTAAAAGGTTCAGGGATTCCCCTGTAATAACTTTTGTGTATCCTGGAATTTTAGTTTTTCTTTTCCTCAAATTGTGCTACCCTAATCTTACACTTCATCCTTATTGAAGTCTATTTATCATTCTTCTACCTGTTTACAGGATACATGTGTTAGCACCTTATATAATTTATATTTGTTTGCTTGATATTTTTCTATGTAGAATGATATCTCATTGGAGATTTCCTTCTCCTAGATTACTGGTTCGCCCTCTGCCTTCATTGTGCATCACAATAGAGCTTTTAGCTGTAGGTACCTGGGCCCCACACAGAGACTGGGGGGGGGGTGGGAGAGAGGGGCAGGCATTGCTAATTTCTTTATTCTGAATACACCTTCAGGCCTGAGGAGGTGGCTGATGCCAGTAATCCTAGCCTAGCACTCTGGGAGGCTGAGACGGGTGGATCACTCAAGGTCAGGAGTTTGAAACCAGCCTGAGCAAGAGCAAGACCCCGTCTCTACTAAAAATAGAAAGAAATTAATTGGCCAACTAAAAATATATATAGAAAAAAAAAATTAGCCAGGCATGGTGGCGCCTGCCTGTAGTCCCAGCTACTCTGGAGGCTGAGGCAGGAGGATCGCTTGAGTCCAGGAGTTTGAGGTTGCTGTGAGCCAGGCTGACGCCACAGCACTCTAGTCCAGGGAACATGAGTGAGACTCTGACTCAAAAAAAGAAAAGAAAAGAAAAAATGAATACACGTTCATATACTTTATTTACTTTTGAGGCAGAGTCTCACTCTGTTCCCTGGACTAGAGTGCCGTGGCGTCAGCCTGGCTCACAGCAGCCTAAAACTCCTGATCTCAAGTGATCCTCCTGCCTCAGCCTCCCGAGCAGCTGGGACTACAGGCAGGCGCCACCATGCCGGTCCTGTATTGTTGAACATTGTAAGTACTCAGTATATCTTTTTTTGACCCAGATTAATCAGTCATGATTTTACCTTATAGAAGTGGTTCTATCCTTTACCATCAAAGATACAATTCGCCGTGGTTTGCTGACCCCTGTGTTAACTGTTTGTATTCTTAATATCTAATCCCTTTCCTTTATCTCCTTGTATTTTAGTTGCTGCGGCTCATGCAGTTGCTGAAGAAAGAAGGAATCAAAGTGGAGTTAGCCCAATTGCGTCCCAGTCTTCAAATCTGAGATCAGCATGTAAACCAGGTATCATTTCTGTAATGCTTTGATAGATGTTTAATGTCATATCTTTAAAATTTGATATCCTATTAATGTCTAACTATATCTTTTTTAGTAATAGATGGATCTGTGCTTAAAAATGATGAAAAACAAAGATTAGCGAAGGAGCGCAGGGAAGAGAAGAGGAGACAGCAAGATGGTATATTTTAGACTTTTAAAAAATCAAAATGAATGAATTTTATATATATATTTGAAAATATTTTTCTTGCTTTTCCTAATTTTTTTCTATAATAGATTATAATTTGTATGGTGTTGGGTTAAATCTTTTTACTAAATCAGGTAAAGAAGGCCCATAAAACATCTTTGACTAAGTAATTTTTGAGGGAGTAGTTTCTGTTAGCTTTGATTTTCTGAAAACTAAGGTATGAAAATTTTTTCAACATTTGTAAAAACAAGCAGAGTGGGGATTTTAGTAAAAGTGATTCTAAAAATGAAAATATAAGTTGCTAATAATCCTAGCATAGATAAGATGAAAAGATGCTCTTAAGTTATAGAAAGCTTATTCTTTTAGATCCTAATTTATACAAAGTCACACTTTAGAAGCATTTAGTGAGGGAAAATTTGAATATAGGAAAACATTATAGTATTCCATAATGTGATATATGGCTAAGTCCATTAATGTAAAACCAGCATGCTGGATAGATGAGGACTTTGAAAGAAGTTTCCTAGTAGAAAGAAACAAAACATGTATTCTGGCCTTGTGGGTTTTTGGGTTTTTTTTGAGACAGAGTCTCACTTTTGTTGCCCGGGCTAGAGTGCCGTGGCATCAGCTTAGCTCACAGCAACCTCAAACTCCTGGGATCAAGGGATCCTCCTGCCTCAGCCTCCCAAGTAACTGGGACTACAGGCATATGCACCACCATGCCCGGCTAATTTTATATGTGTGTGTGTGTGTTTAGTTGGCCAATTAATTTCTTTGTATTTATAGTAGAGACGGGGTCTGGCTCTTGCTCAGGCTGGTTTTGAACTCCTGACCTTGAGCAATCTACCAGCCTTGGCCTCCCAGAGTGCTAGGATTACAGGTGTGAGCCACCGTGCCCAGCCCTGGCCTTGTGGTTTTTTAATGTATATTTTAATAAACAGCATATTAAACTGGTGAGGTTTGACTTTTGCTCAAATCAGAAATATAACATGAAAGAAAAGATTTCTTCTTAATTTGAAATTATAGTTTGGAGAGGGTGAGAGTCATCTGGTGTGGACAGTCTAGTTCTCCAGAGTCAAATGAATACCCAGTGAAAGTGGTTCTTTAGTGGCCACCTCTGTTCATTTATTTAGTCTTTAATTACCAGCACAGTTTGTATTATTTTAAGAAAGAGAATGAGATATGCTAAATTTTTCCTTCTATGTGTGTAATGTGGAAAACTTAAATATTTTCTTGGCTCTTACACCTTGAAAATGTATTTGGAATATTTCAGCCAATAAAGAAATGCAACTACTTGAAAAAGCAAGAAAGGCCAAGATCCAATATGAAAAACAGATGGAAGAAAAACAGCGAAAGCTGAGAGAGCAAAAAGAAAAAGATGAGCAGCGGAGAATATCCGCAGAAGAAAAAAGAAAACAGAAGTTAGAGGAAGAAAGGGTACATAATTTTATAGCCCCTTCATCAGATGATACGCTGTGTTGCCTGGGTCTGAAATATATACATATTTTTTTTCTTAGCCCTTCTCTGCCTTTACTGGCCCTATAGAAAGGGAACCAATCCTAGCTCTTTCTTTCTTCTTCCCTCCTTCTTCCCCTCAGCATTAGCAGCTCTTGGGTCCTCATAAGATCCCAGGAGCTGAGACCCACTAGCCATAGGGAGGAGAAACCTCATAGATCCAAGAACAGAACCCTGTCCACCTTCAGGATGTAGCATATAGGGTTTCCTCTGAGCTGCTCTACTACCAGAAAGCATTTACTGTTGTCCCATTGCCTAGAGAATAAAAGGGCAGACTCCACTGTCTGACCCTCCCTCACATGCCCACATCTGACTGATTTCTTACAACTCCTCTAATGGCGTGACTCCCCAGCCAAGTCAGAGTGTTTGCTCTCCCTTACAGGTTCCCTGGCTCCCTCCTGTGTGTACCACACTGTCTCCTTCCTTATCCCCCTGTCCCTTATGTTCCTCACATTCTCTTTCCTGATGGGGGAACCCTCTGGACCTGTCATTGATAGGCAGTGTATCTCTTGTTTTGTGGCACTGCTACTCTCTCTTCCTTTCTAGACTCTTTTCTTGGTGTTTTTAGTATTCTGTTGGTATGAGTCAATGGCTTTGTTATGCCCTCTCTTTTACCCTTCTGTCCCTCTTCAGTCAGTTTGCCTTTTTTTTTTTTTTGAGACAGAGTCTCGCTTTGTTGCCCAGGCTAGAGTGAGTGCCGTGGCGTCAGCCTAGCTCACACAACCCTCAAACTCCTGGCTCAAGGGATCCTCCTGCCTCAGCTTCCCAAGTAACTGGGACTATAGGCATGCACCACCATGCCCGGCGCCAATTAATTTCTTTCTATTTATAGTAGAGACGGGGTCTCGCTCTTGCTCAGGCTGGTTTCGAACTCCTGACCTCGAGCAATCGCCCGCCTCGGCCTCCCAGAGAGCTAGGATTACAGGTGTGAGCCACCGGGCCCAGCCAGTTTGCCTTTTTTTTTTCTGAGACAGAGTCTCACTCTGTTCCCTGGGCTAGAGTGCCGTGGTGTCAGCCTAGCTCACAGCAACCTCAAACTCCTGGGCTTAAGGGATCCTCCTGCCTCAGCTTCCCAAGTAACTGGGACTATAGGCATGCACCACCATGCCCGGCTAATTTTTTTTCCTATAGATATTTTTAGTTGGCCAATTAATTTCTTTCTATTTTTAGTAGAGAAGAGACAGGGTCTTGCTCTTGCTCAGGCTGGTTTGGAACTCCTGACCTTGAGCAATCCTCCCGCCTCGGCCTCCCAGAGCGCTGGGATTACAGGGGTGAGCCACCACGCCTGGCCCACTTTACCTTTTGTTGTTTATCCTAGGCATTTGGCTACCTGTCTCATTCTGTATGATTCGCTCTCTTTGACACCAAATTTTTCTCTCGTAGGCCATTACGCTACTTTACTGTGAGTATGCTTGACTCCTTCTGAAACCCGCATGATGTCTGTGACACCATTCTCTTTCTTGCTGGTATTCTCTGTGTCTTTTTATTCCAGGGACTCTCAAATGTTCCTAAGTAAGTCTTAGCTTAATCTGTCTCTGAGTCCCTGTCTGACTCTGGCCTTTTTCTGCCTGAGGCGGCTCACTTTTCTTTCTACTATCTTTGTTTTAGCTTCTCTGTTTTTCCCCATTTTTGAACACTTTGGACTCTCTGCCTATTGTTCTCTTAGTATATGTATATTTCTTATCTCCCTCTCATATTTTGTGTTATTCTAATTTTTGTATTTCTTTTTCTCTCCCTTTCTCTTTAGTTCCATTTCTGCCCATAAAGCTGCTTCTCTTAGGCTTTCCCTGTGAGGCTCACTTTCCCTCCTTCCTCGCACACACAGTTGCTCTTGCACTTGCTTTACCTCCAGCCCTATGTTCCATCTGGACATCTTCCTGATTCTAGGTCTCTTCTTGTGCCATTTCTTCCCCATCCATGGACCACTGCCTCTTTCTTTCTCTGTCTTTCTGACCCTTTTCCTGTGATTGTTTATGCTCAGTGTGTTTCATGTTCCAGGATTTGGTAGACTCTCATTCAGAATTTCTGTCATTCTCCATTGTCCTGTGTGAATCATCTCCTTATTTTACTTAATGTGTGGCGAAGAGATGAAGGCCAGAGAGAGAATATGAACTAAGCAAAGACAATTTGAGAACCAAAGAAAGTAAAATAGAAAACTGTGTGCAGAGTGAGGGAGCATCCCTGGAGGGGAGAGAGTCCCAGGGACTGAGAAAAAAAAAGACCATCTTAAAGAAAAAGCTGAGAGAGGGAGGACACATAGGAGAGATGAGAATGCAACAAAATGACACTACAGACAGAAAGGGAGCCAGAGACAACAGGAAGGGGGACAAAAGAGAAACAACCCCAGAGAGCTAGATAGTGTAGGAGAGTCCCAATCAGAGCATGGGGCATCATGAGACATTGTAAGTAGCAAAAGTGAGAGAGGAATTCTGTAGAGCAGAGAAAAAACCCAGTCTCTGTAGAGCTTAAGGAGTAGTGTGCATGGACAGAAGATACATATGAGACAGGATGAGAACTTCCATTATGAGCTCTGAGTGACCACAGATGCAAGAAGGAATCTGAAAGCACAGAGGGGCGATGCATTCAGAAACAGTGGGATTCTTATGAGTCAGAAATGTTTTAATAATGCAAGATTAATCTCTGTTTTCAGTTTATCATAGTTTCAGGGATTCTAAGTAATTTAGAACAACTTCCTTTTAAAAGATATGATTTTCAAATATTGCCATTAGGTAAATTTTATTTTAAAGAATTGAAATTGCTTTTTTCTTTAGGATACGGGCTGCTCTTCATTTTTGTAGTATGTTTTTCTTTGTCCTCAGAAAACTGGTAGGGACATTTTAAGGATGATGTTGCTATGAAACAGTTGTTAGGGAAGAATGGAAAACCTCTGGCCTTGAAATTGATTTGCTTAACTGAGCAAATATATGGTAGGTTACAGTACAGGGATGAGAAATACCTGAGAAAAGAACTCATTTCTGGAAGTGGAGTTGTCTTGCCACACTGTGACATTTAATTGACATATAGCTGTTGCCCTGACCAGTTTAAATTGAAGTTGAGGTTAAGACAAAGATCCTGTTAATTTTTTTTGAAACTTTATTTTTATTAGTACCAGAATTTAAGCTGTTACAAATGCGGGTATAGTAAGTGACTCTGGCAGAGATTTCACTTTTATGCATGTTGATTTTTTTTCCTGCCTCATTTCACAAAGAATTTAAGTGACTTTTAAAAATCCATACCATACCAGATGATAAAATAAATGGTTGAGGAAATCCAGCAGAGGGGAAATTAAGGTAGGCAAATAATAAAGCATAAGATGTGATTAGTGTACAAGAAAGTATACAACTCAGTTTCTGTACGATCACTAGAGATACCTACAAATTTGGCTCTAAATTTCCTAATGATAAAAGCAAGGAGGAAAGCACGATTGCTTCCTCAATGCAATATACCTTGTTATTTAAGAGAAGCACTGTTACCTACCGGTTGATCCCTGTGACATGTCTCCAGTTACTTTAATTTTTTTTTTTTGAGACAGAGTCTCACTCAGTTGCCCAGGCTAGAGTGAGTGCCGTGGCATCAGCCTAGCTCACAGCAACCTCAAACTCCTGGGCTCGAGTGATCCTTCTGCCTCAGCCTCCCGGGTAGCTGGGACTACAGGCATGCGCCACCATGCCCGGCTAATTTTTTTATATATATATCAGTTGGCCAATTAATTTCTTTCTATTTATAGTAGAGACGGGGTCTCGCTCTTGCTCAGGCTGGTTTCGAACTCCTGACCTTGAGCAATCCGCCCGCCTCGGCCTCCCAAGAGCTAGGATTACAGGCGTGAGCCACAGCGCCCGGCCTTACAGCAAGGTTTTAATCTTTGTATCATAAATGAAAATGCTGTACATAGTAAATTTATATTTAAATTTGTGTCATATCCATTACAAAAAAACAGGTAAGATTATATAATAGATTTTATTTAACTCAGTATGCTCAAAATCTTATTTAAACTTAGAATCAGCAAAAAATGATGAATAATTACTAAGTTTTACACAGCTTATCTAATGCATATTTTAAAAAATAAACTAATTCTGCCTTGTTTACTGTAGATGCACTATAAATTTTACTATATGTGGACATAATTCTACATAATCTCAGAAAACAAATTTATATTGTTTAGAAGGAACAGTGAACATGGTGTACCTGATGAATGCATGTCAATGTTTTTTATAACTACATCGTGAAATGTCATTTTGTTTCAGCTAATGATGCTTTCTTCTTGAAATATGATTAAATATTACATCTTTTCTCAGCCAATAAGAGATCTCCATCTACTGAAAAACTCGAACAGGGAACTTCTGCTTTCAATAAACAAACGTCTGTGTCACCTGCAGGTCTTCAAAATTCTGTTGCCAAAAGTAAGTAGTTATTTCCTGTATTCTACTGAATTTCATTTAATGAAATCAGTTCTTTATGTATATTTTTATAGTACTGCTTTATGTATATTATGTAACATTTAGGTTTATTTGAGAAGAGTACCACTTTATTTTACAAGAGAGAAATATTTTGTATTTTCATTAATATAAATCCTTGTTTTGTGATTTTTGTATTAAGCACATATCAGATGGGATTGTTGGGCTCAAATAGCTCAAACTGAAACATATTTTTGGCCAAAAGACATTACCATTATGTGGCATAATTATTTATTTTAAAATTAATTCATATTCTAGCTAACCTGTAAATGGAATTGTGTTTTCCAAGCACTAGCTAGACTGATCATTCATTTTTCCATTAAGTATCATGACTATTACCTCATTTAAGAAAAAAATAAGCTGGGTTCGGTGGCTCACGCCTGTAATCCTAGCACTCTGGGAGGCCGAGGCAGGCGGATAGCTCGAGGTCAGGAGTTGGAATCCAACCTGAGCAAGAGTGAGACCCCATCTCTACTATAAAATAGAAAGAAATTAATTGGCCAGCTAATATATATAGAAAAAATTAACCGGGCATGGTGGCACATGCCTATAGTCCCAGATACTAGGGTGGCTGAGGCAGCAGGATCGCTTGAGCCCAGGAGTTTGAGGTTGCTGTGAGCTAGGCTGACGCCATGGCACTCTAGCCTGGGCAACAAAGCGAGACTCTGTCTCAAAAAAAAAAAAAAAAGAAAAATAGTAGCATTATATATATATGGAGAGAGAGAGCGCACAAGCAGTGGACAGGTTGATCTGCCTTACATATATCATATTTGTTATTCACAATTATCTTGTAAAATTGACAGGCAAGTATAAATGCCTTCCTTGTTTTACAGTTCAGACTCCAAGAAACTCAATGATTTCTACTTTATCATCCTTTCTTATGGTTTATATTTTGGTATTTGATAGATTGTAATATTTATATTGTACCTCACTTATAAGTCCATGTTTTCCCCTAAAGCAAGCAAATAAAGTGACAACATTTAATGATAGATGTATTGCTAAGCTCCACTTTACAACTTTTCATCCCGAAATGGGAACACGATGTTTTTTTTTTTTTTTTTTTTTTTTTGAGACAGTGTCTCACTTTGTTGCCCAAGCTAGAGTGAGTGCCTTGGCGTCAGCCTAGCTCACAGCAACCTCAAACTCCTGGGCTCAAGTGATCCTGCTGCCTCAGCCTCCCAAGTAGCTGGAACTACAGGCATGCGCCACCATGCCTGGCTAATTTTTTCTATATATATTAGTTGGCCAATTAATTTCTTTCTATTTATAGTAGAGACAGGGTTTCGCTCTTGCTCAGGTTGGTTTCGAACTCCTGAACTCGAACGATCCGCCCGCCTCGGCCTCCCAGGGAGCTAAGATTACAGGTGTGAGCCACTGCGCCGGCCCACAGTGTTGTTTTAAATAAAATGAAGTTATCTACTATGGAGACTTCAAATACCTTTTTGTTCCTGGTATTTGCTTTTTAATTAATATTCCTTATTAAAAAGTAAATCTATATCTGAGTGTGTATTGGTGACCATTTCTGACTTGTAGTGCATGTTGCTTCTCAGTAATAATTGAAATGGATTAGACAACCATACCCATCAATCAAAAACAAACAAAAAAAAAAAACAAAAAAACCCTTTTTCTTTCCAGAGGAAAAAACAGCAGTGATCTCAGCAGGAAAAAGGGCAAATTTCATATCATTGCCTCAAATTTAGCCATTAAAAAACATGAAGAAATATACTGCTTTTGTGCCTTGTGAATTGAAAAAGGCATAATCATAGTTTGAATTAAAATTTTTTTTGCATTATTTAGGTGCCTTGACATTTTTTTGAGCAATGCTGATTGCTGTATTGCTATAAAATTCCAGTACAGCAAAAGACTTTGGATACCATTTAAAGTATAATTGATTATAACAATGCTTAACCTCATGAAGAAGATTTTGATTTTTGTCTAAAACAGTATTATAGTTTTAATATATTGAAAAGGATTTCTGGGGGAAAATGAGTTTTATTCAAACTTACATTATGTTATTTATACTTTTAGGGCTCTTACAATTTCTTTTTATTTATTTATTTTATATATTTTTTTGTTTTAAGTAAAAAAAATTTTTTTCGTTGTTTTTTTTACTTCATCCTACATGAACTTTGACTATGGGCTCTTACAATTTCAACGATGAGCTTGAAAGGTCTTAACTTTGTTGTCAGTTTTGAGTGTATCACATTTTCTCTTGTAATGATCTAAGAAAAGTTGATCCACTTACCACCCCCACCCTCAATATGTTTTCCCATAGCACTTTTATGTATACCCCAGGTTCATTCATAGATTAATGTGGGAAGATATTCTCTAGCACCTTGCTTGTCATATGGTAAAAGTAATTTATTATGCACTAACTAAACCCTTTAGAAAAATTAGATAACATTAATTGCATTGCCATGTTTATGTACTTTCATTTTATATATCTTGATTGATCCACAATAATTGACTGTTTTACTATCTGATTGCCCTCAGGAATTTAGCAAGGGTTTATTCCACAGGTATTTATTACACATTTAATGAAATGAGCAAACACTCATATGCTTTCATTAATATGTCTATTTGCCATATCAATGAGACATGTAAAGAGAAAGGTCAGGTGATGACTTTCAAGGTAATAATTAGTTAAGTTGTGCTGTGAAGGAGCAATTCCAAATAACTTTTTAAATGATTTCTTTACTAGTTTTTAATACAAGAAGGTATGTGTGGACGATACTTTGTGAAATAACTTACTTCAAGGTACAGTATGTTGCATACTCTGAAATGATCAATTCTGTAGTTAATGATTTCAGGGAAAATAAAATCCATATTGGCATGTCTTACCTTTGTAAACTCCCTTTAAATCAAAATGAAACCTGCTCAATCCAGAGAGATCAACATTTCAAATTCAAATGAAGTTCATAATCTAATCTGCAATATTTTAAATCTTGGTTGATTCAAGTAGTCTATTTTTCTTCTACTCATTGCTGACTCAATTGTTGACACCATTTTGTCATTTCTTATAGAATGCTAATGAAGGATACTGCCTTAATCACATGATTGAATTGATTACAGCTCTGTGGTTCATGCTGCTCAATCATATTACCAATTTGAGAAATTAATTTTTAAATGGACTTTCCTCAGTAGTCTGAGCTAGAGTATTTCAAGTGATATGGAAAAGTTTCTATAAAAAGCAGAGTTTTCCTTATGCATAGTTGAATTGCATAAATTGTGACAATCTATACCAAATGTTAATACTTTTGTTTCAATAAATACTAGTTATAACTGAAGTATAAATTACTTTTAGTATTAGACATTGTCTCTAAAATTAAAGGTATCTTCCTAATCTGGGAACTTTGATATTGTCAAATAATAGCAGACATGTTTCCTCTTAATTTTAACCATTTTCTAAATAGTTTAATCTCATTTCAGATAACTTACAGAAGAAACTACAAAAAAAAATTGTCTCTCAGTGTGCCTCCCCCCCAAAAAAAAGGAAACTAGTTTTACGTTTGGGGATGTAGAGATTCTGTATAATATTTGAAATTAAATAAATTCTTACAAGCAAAGGTAGAGAGAAGATGAAAAATATTTGAAAAAGGAGTGGCTCACTCCTGAAATAGTATACTTAAGTAGTTTGTGAAAAATAATACTTTTTTGCATTTGATCTCTAGGAAAAATGGAAAAGAAGAGAAGTTCATCTTTAAATAGAAGAGATAGCAAACTACATTCATCTACTGAAACAGAACCAGGAGAAGAAAAGCCAGGTAGTTAATTACTTTTAAGTACAAATCTTAAATAGGGGTTTAAAAGAGGCATATTACATTGAGTTATTTGAAAAGTTTTTCTTAAAATTAGAAAGCAAAATATCTCTTCTTGAATGAAAAAATGTGCTTTGGTGCCATGTTTATTTGGCTGAAGCCAGAAAAGTCTGTCTTTAAATGAAGTTTAAAGACATCATCTGACAAGGTGTCAATAATGAAGCTGACAAAATAAATCACAGAATGTTGTTATAGATATGTTTGTATTGGAATACTTGATTCACTCCCAACATTTCATCATTTTGCATTTAGAATTTATAAATTACTGGCCACATTTTGAACCTCAAAACTTTGCTCTCTTGGTCCATAGCATTAACCACCTATATAGTTTGTGCATGTTTTCACTGCTGATTATCGCACTCAAAATTTCATAATTATTATTAAAGTACTTTTTTTTTTTTTTTTTTGAGACAGAGTCTCACTTTGTTGCCCAGGCTAGAACGAGTACCCTGGCGTCAGCCTAGCTCATAGTAACCTCAATCTCCTGGGCTCAAGCGATCCTGCTGCCTCAGCCTCCGGAGTCGCTGGGACTACAGGCATGCGCCACCATGCCGGGCTAATTTTTTCTATATATTAGTTGGCCAATTAATTTCTTTCTATTTATAGTAGAGACAGGGTCTCGCTCTTGCTCAGGTTGGTTTCGAACTCCTGAACTCAAACAATCCACCCACCTCGGCCTCCCAGAGAGCTAGGATTATAGGCGTGAGCCATCGCGCCAGGCCAGTACTTCTTTATTTAAAGTAGTTTTTTTTTGTTTTTTTTTTTTTTAGACAGAGTCTCACTCTGTTTCCTGGGCTAGAGTGCTGTGGCGTCAGCCTAGCTCACAGCAACCTCAAACTCCTAGGCTCAAGCAATCCTACTGCCTTAGCCTCCCAAGTAGCTGGGACTACAGGCATGTGCCACCATGCCCGGCTAATTTTTTCTATATATTTTTAGCTGGCCAAGTAATTTCTTTCTACTTTTAGTAGAGATGCAGTCTCCCTCTTGTTCAGGCTGGTCTTGAACTCCTGAGCTCAAATGATCCTCCCGCCTCAGCCTCCCAGAGTGCTAGGATTATAGGTGTGAGTCACCAAGGCAGCCTTAAAGTAATTTCCTTTTTAACACCTTTCCCTAGTATTTTCCTTTCCTGTGTGTTTGTTGCTTTTTGTTTCATACTGAACCATTTGCTTACAGAAGATTCTCCACGTAATTGATTTAGGTCAGATCCTATTAGAAGAAACGCCATTGACACAGGGATCTTTATGAATATAAAGATTTAATGGAACAAGATATTTACAGCAAAATTGACTTTTATGGTTTTTTTTTTTTTAGTCAGAGTCTCACTCTGTTGCCTGGGCTAGAGTGCTGTGGCATCAACCTAGCTCACAGCAACCTCAAACTTCTGGGCTCAAGGGATCCTACTTAACTCAGCCTCCCGAGTAGCTGGGACTAAAGGCATGCACCGCCATGCCTGGCTAATTTTTTTCTATATATTTTTAGTTGACCAATTAATATCTTTCTATTTTTAATAGAGACAGGGTCTGGCTCTTGCTCAGGCTGGTCTGGAACTTCTGAGCTCAAGCAATCCTCCCGCCTTGGCCTCCCAGAGTGCTAGGATTACAGGCGTGAGCCACCATACCTGGCCGCAAAATTCACTTTTAGCAAAAGATTTTAGTCTCTTGGAGCTTTTGGTGATGGCCCCTACTCTTATGATTGTCAGTGGCATATATCTATAGGAATTCCTGTAAAAGTTGTTTTTTTATGTGTAACTTTTTTTTCCACTTGTGATTTCTTCCATAGAGATTCCATATGGTGGGCAATGATTCTATTAAATATGTTAACTAGATTCCTTCCTTAGAGTTACTGTGGGTAAGATGTGATCTTTTCCCCTTTGTTCAGGTAATCTCTTTCCTGACAGGGCAGTTTGATCACATGACAGTGTTCAATCCTATTATGTGTTTCCGGGAAAGTTATTGTTTATCGCAGTTCACATTGTTCTTTCTTGCTTTGCATTTGTTTGTGAGATCCCAAATTGAATCCTTTTTGATTTGTTCTCATCATTTAGCTCATCGCTCGTATATTGGTTCTCAAGAGAATAATTTAATCAGTCGCCTGCTCATCCCAACAAAAGCATCATTAGCCAGAAGCAAAAGTGCTGCTTCATTATCCATCCCTGGAAAAAATATTCCAGGTAACAGGCATATGGTGGAAAGCCTGAAGGTGGTGTTAGTGTGTTTGTACTTAAAAATTGGCTCTATTACTTAATTTGTTGCATTGAGGCATAAAATAAATTTGAATCAAGTTACCAAATTAGTGATTTTAACAAACATTTGATGTTGCATATTTATCTTATGACTTCTAGCATGAGTAGTTATCTGGGTAATAGGTTATTTTTGAGACACCTAACTTTGGTGGTGGTTATTACATTTGAAAGCTCTATAGATTCTTAAAGTGTAGAAAAACTTTACTAATATTAAGGAAGAAAGTTTCCTATTCCACCCTCCTTTTTTCCTAAAATACTGAGCAATAACATTGAGCTACCCTTCAGCTTCTGATTAGGGACATAAAGGTTGTTAGTAAAATAACACAAATCTTCAGGGTTATGTGGATATTCTCATTTATAGTTTACATGTAGTGTCAGACAGGCCTATGCATAGCAAAACCCCCACCCATGATGGAAAGCTAGCATGTATTGTTCCCATCATTTTTTTCTCTTTTTTTCCCTTCCACTTTTTCCTTCCTAGAATATATCCCACCCCCTTTGCTGTTTTTTTCTGTCAGTATTCATCACAGATTTTCTTGTTTTATAAATTTTTTTGGGGGGGGACAGAGTCTCGCTGTGTTGCCTAGCCTAGAGTGAGTGCCATGATGTCAGCCTAGCTCACAGCAACCTCAAACTCCTGGGCTCAAGCAATCCTCCTGCCTCAGCCTCCCAAGTAGCCGGGACTACAGGCGGAAGCCATCACGCCCTGCTAATTTTTTGTTTCATTTTTAGTTGACAGGCTAATTTGTTTTATTTTTACTAGAGACAGGGTCTCACTCTTGCTCAGGCTGGTCTCGAACTCCTGAACTCAAGCAACCCTCCCACCTTGGCCTCCCAGAGTGCTAGGATTATAGGTGTGAGCCATGGCGGCTTGCCCCCAGAGTTTCTTGTAATGCAACCTTTTCTTGGTTCTAATTCCTGACTTTTTTAATGCCCAGTTATATGTATGTCAGGTTATTTTCTGCCAGTCTCCCTCCCCCTAACCTATGGTAAGATATTTCTATTACCATCATCCAAAAAACTCAATATTTTGTCTTAAATTTCTATAGCTAATACAAATCTACTTATCATATGTCCTGTATTTTCTATAGCACAAACTGTTGGTCTTAAATAATGTGACTAGGTACATGCAGATATATAGGTAAAATGCTTTCTCCACCAAAAATGAGGGACTAAAAGATAACATTTAATTTAGTCAAAACTTTTATTAATATTTAACCAATCTTTGGTAAATTGTCTATTATTTGATGAAATCATGTGAAAATTTGCCATCCATACTTAAAGATGAGGTGGCAGATAAATTTACCAATTGTTAAGAAACCCACTACCAGATACCTTTTTAAAAATCTTTACCTTATTATATAAACAATAAATAGTGTAGAACAATTTTTTAAATGTAATCCCATATTATCCTAATACTTACTGGTAGCTTACTATTTTTGTTAGCCATTTATATATTTTTTCACAAAATGAGATAACCTGCTTTTATTTATTTATTTTTTTTTTTTGAGACAGGGTCTCGCTTTGTTGCTTAGCCTAGAGTGAATACCGTGGCAGCAGCCTAGTTCACAGCAACCTCAAACTACTGGGCTCAAGCAATCCTACTGCCTCAGCCTCCCGAGTAGCTGGGACTACAGGCTTGCGCCACCATGCCCAGCTAATTTTTTCTAATATATTAGTTGGCCAATTAATTTCTTTCTATTTATAGTAGAGACAGGGTCTCTCTCTTGCTCAGGCTGGTTTCGAACTCCTGACCTCGAGCATTCCACCCACCTCAGCCTCCCAGAGTGCTAGGATTACAGGTGTGAGCCACCGCACCCAGCCCATATTACCACTCTTAATGACTGCCTTCATATAGTCCAAATTTCCTATGGAAATTTCAGATTATATTTTCAATTGTTTCAATATTATAAATAATACAATAATTAGCAACTTTGTACTACATTTTAATGTATTTATCTGATTTTTTCCTAAGGATAAACCTAGAAATGGAATTGCTAGAACAAAGTGTATGTACTTTTAATGCTTCCCAGGGAATATATACAAATACACTCCTACTAGCAGTGTATAAGGTTGCCTGGTTCCAAACATTGATGTTACCATTTTTCTTCATCTTAGCTGACACCAAGTATTATCATTTTTGTCCATTTCCTGGGTAAACTATATTTAGATTGGTAAAGCTGGAAAGGGACCTTGGAGAGCTAATCTACTTTGGTTATTGTCTTCTTATAGTTTTTAATATGGGTGAGAAAATACTCTTTATAACAATCAAGTATAGAGTATCTTACACAGTCGCCTGTAAGGGTAAGATCTTTAGCCCCGGTGAAGATGTTTAGATTGCTTTTAAAAAGAGTTGAAGATCTTATAATTTTCTGTGAAAATCATTCTGAAATATAGTATGGTTAAAATAGAAATTGCAAACATCAACCTTGGAGAAGCATCTTATTTTTATGTGTAATAGACAATTGCTTTCACAGCAACTCTTGTTGGTGTTGCTTCTGAAGTACTAACTCTGATGGTTCTGTCTGTGTCTGTGATCCATTTCGCTAAACATTTCCTGTGTTGTGTATAATCCCTGTGCTTTCCTAATAAATCTGTTTTCTCTGTTCCTGTTGTTATACTGTGTATGTGGTGTCTCTTTGTCTTATCAAATTTCTAACTTAACGGCATTTCACTCTGTCCTCATTTACTTACAGCCATTAACAATCACATGCTCCAGCATATAAATGTGCCCTCTCGTAGCTATAGCAGTGATCAATTGAAGACTACTGTCACGTTTCCCAAGTCAACAGTGAAAATGCCTCAAACAAAATTTGCAATGGCTCCTCAGGAAAAAGTAGAGACACCCCTCAAGGCAAGTGTGGAAGTACCCCTAAAGGTGAATGTGGAAGCATCCCCTGAGGCAAGTGTGGAAGCGCTCCCTGAGGTGGGCAGGGAAGCATCCCCTGAGGTGAATGTGGAAGCGCCCCCTGAAGCAAGTGTGGAAGTGTACCATGAGACAATAGTAGAAGTGACTCCCAAGGCAAGCATGCACTCCTCCCCTGAGACGAGTGAGGACTCATCCCCCTTGGTGAGTGTCAATGTGTCCCCAGTGGTAAGTACAGATGACTCCCTGGAGGCAAGCATGGACACATCTCCTGAGGCGAGTGTGGACACATCCCCTGAAGCAAGCCTGGAAGTGCCACCAGAGGAGAGCGCTGAAGCATCCCCTGAGATGATGATAGAAGTGAACCCCAAGGTGATGGTAGAATTAAACCCTGACGTGATGGTGGAAGCACCTCCTGAGGCAAGCGTGGAAGTGCCCCCCAAGGCATTCCCTGAGTTTAGCATGGAAGCATCTCCGAAGGCGAAGGTGAGAGACACTCTGCAGGTTTGTCAAATACCTTTTATTGATATATTTTCTAATATAAGATATTAAAATATGCATATTGTATAGATCATGATAGGTCAGATTCACAACATAACCAATTTCTTATTTATAATATTCTGCAATAAAATTCATGGGATAAGTCATTTGAACTAAGAATTTAAGATTCTCTGATGTTCATTGTACCACTTTCCCCTCAAAGCTAGAATATTAGTTTTAGTAGAGGGAGAAAATAGAAGTGTATGTGGAAATATGTTTCTAAACTCTGAAGAAAAATTTTTTTGAAAATTGTACTAAACCCTTAATTAGGATTTAGAAATGGAGTCAGGTTTTCAAGTAAAAGATTCTTTTTTTTTTTGTTGAGACAGGGTCTTACTCTGTTGCCCAGGCTAGAGTGCCGTGGCGTCAGCCTAACACTGACCTCAAACTCCTGGGCTCAACAGGAACAGAGAAAACATATTTATTAGGAAAGCACAGGGATTATACACAACACAGGAAATGTTTAGTGAAATGGATCACAGACACAGACAGAACCATCAGAGTTAGTACTTCAGAAGCAACACCACCAAGAGTTGCTGTGAAACCAATTGTCTATTACACATAAAAATAAGATGCTTCTCCAAGGTTGATGTTTGCAATTTCTATTTTAACCATACTATATTTCAGAATGATTTTCACAGAAAATTATAAGCTCTTCAACTCTTTTTAAAAGCAATCTAAACATCTTCACCGGGGCTAAAGATCTTACCCTTACAGGCGATTGTGTAAGATACTCCTGGGCTACCTCAAACTCCTGGGCTCAAGCAATCCTTCTGCCTCAGCCTCCTGAGTTGCTGGGACTGCAGGCATGCACCACCGGCTAATTAGCCGGCTAATTTTTCCTATTTTTTATAGAGACGGGGTCTCACTCTTTCTCAGGCTGGTCTCGAATGCCTGGGCTCAAACGATCTGCCCACCTCAGCCTCTCAAGAGTACTAGGATTATGGGAGTGAACCACCAGGCTAAGCCTAATAGATTCTTTTAAATTAGTTGTTTCTGTGATCTACTTGAATTGTTAGTCTGGAAGAGAATACCTCTATACCAAATTCTCATGCACTAAAAGAAAATTGAGTTTTAAGGAACTATAATTGTATTATATTCAGTTTTTCTCTTTAAAGGCCAGCCACCATAAAAGAATTGTTAGTAATTTCTTATCTTATTGCATTAATCTGTTCAGAATTCAGAAATGGACAAACAGACCTCAAATTCCATTACCAAGAAGTGCCCATCATCGTACATACCATGTTATAAATGGTCATCATCTCCTGCAAGTGGGTGTCATCCACCTTCTCCTGTTAGCACTAAGTAAGTAGCTTATTTGCACTGTTCCTGATGGGTTTACACAGGACCAATTCCATGTCAGTGTTTCATGAGTGAAACAATACGAAAAAAAAAAAAAAAACTTTAAAAATGGATTTACTTTTTTTTTTTTTGAGACAGAGTCTCACTTGGTTGCCCAGGCTAGAGTGAGTGCCATGGTGTCAGCCTCGCTCACAGCAACCTCAATCTCCTGGGCTCAAGCAATCCTCCTGCCTCTGCCTCCCAAGTAGCTGGGACTACAGGCATGTGCCACCATGCCCGGCTAATTTTTTGTATATATATTTTTAGTTGGTCAATTAATTTCTTTCTTTTTTTTTTAATTTTTTTTTTTTTTTTGAGACAGTCTCACTTTGTTGCCCAGGCTAGAGTGAGTGCCGTGGCGTCAGCCTGGCTCACAGCAACCTCAATCTCTGGGGCTCAGCAATCCTCCTGCCTCAGCCTCCCGAGTAGCTGGGACTACAGGCATGCGCCACCATGCCCGGCTAATTTTTTGTATATATATTTTAGTTGGTCAATTAATTTATTTCTATTTTGGTAGAGACGGGGTGTTGCTCAGGCTGGTTTCTAACTCCTGACCTTGAGCAATCCGCCCGCCTCGGCCTCCCAAAGTGCTAGGATTACAGGCGTGAGCCACCTCGCCCGGCCAAAAAAAAAATGGATTTACTTTTTAAAATTAATTATTTAATTAATTAATTTATGATGGAGTCTCACTCTGTTGCCTGGGCTGGAGTGCCATGACATCAGCCTAGCTCACAGCAACCTCAAACTCCTGGGTTCAAGCTATCCTTCTGCCTCAGCCTCCCGAGTAGCTGGGACTACAGGCATGTGCCACCATGCCCGGCTAATTTTTTCTATGTATTTTTAGTTGGCCAATTAATTTCTATTTTTAGTAGAGACAGGGTCTCACTCTTGTTCAGTCTGGTTTTGAACTCCTAACCTTGAGCAGTCTGCCTGCCTTGGCCTCCCAGAGTGCTAGGATTACAGGAGTGAGCCACCGTGCCCAGTTGGATCTAGTTTTTAGAAGAAAATCCCAGATTATAGTATCATCTTCTCATAATGTCAATACATTATTATTTCATGAAATTGCACACTAAAAATTAATTAACATACGTGTATTACTTTCTCAACAGGCAAATCCAAAAGAACCGACCCCCGTCACCTTCATCAGTTGTTTCAAAACCATCATCACAGGCTTCTCTTTCCAGTAAAATAATACCTGTTCAGCGTACCCCAGTTGTTCAAAATACATTGGGTACTGTCAAAAAAAAGAGGGAAGCAGTTTCTAAAACTACTAACAAATGTGAACCTTTGAGCCAAAGACATATAATCTATGAAGGTAAGTTTTTTTTTTTTTTTTAATATATAATCTTCTACTTTTTTTTTATATTAATTTTTTTTTTACCTTCTTAGAATCCTTGTAGTTTCATATGAAGGTATGTTTTTGCACTAAGAAGTTTATTTTAGCAATACAGAAAATCTTAAGGTAGTTTGGGAATGGTCAGTTTCATTTTCTTCCCCAATTGAGAGAACTTTAGGGAGTGATTTTTCTTTTAGATAGAAAATTTAACCAGTAATTGGTATATTCAACTGTATGTCCTCTGTTTATCTTTGCCAGACCTTCTTTCCTATCCCTTTGTTTTGGAAAATCCATTTTTTCTTTTGAAACTTTCTAAGCTTCAGTTTCCTCCTCTGTGAAATGGGGATAATAGAGTCCACTCCAAGGCTTGTTCTGAGGATTTTTTTTTTTTTGAGACAGAGTCTCACTTTGTTGCCCAGGCTAGAGTGAGTGCCGTGGCGTCAGCCTAGCTCACAGGAACCTCAAACTCCTGGGCTCAAGCAATCCTCCTGCCTCAGCCTCCCAAGTAGCTGGGACTATAGGCATGCGCCACCATGCCTGGCTAAGTTTTTCTATATATATTAGTTGGCCAATTAATTTCTTTCTATTTATAGTAGAGACAGGGTCTCACTCTTGCTCAGGTTGGTTTCAAACTCCTGACCTCGAATGATCCGCCCACCTTGGCCTCCCAGAGTGCTAGGATTACAGGAGTGAGCTACTGGGCCCAGCCTAGAAAATCCAATTTTGAAACCACTGTTAAAAGTACAGGTTGTGGCCAGGCGTGCACTCTGAGAGTCCAAGGCGGGAGGATCGCTCGAGGTCAGGAGTTGGAGACCAGCCTGAGCAAGAGTTAGACCCTGTCTCTACTAAAAAAGTAGAAAGAAATTATCTGGACAACTAAAAATATATAGAAAAAATTAGCCAGGCATGGTGGCGCATGCCTATAGCCGCAGCTGCTCGGGAGGCTGAGGCAGAAGGATGAGCCCAGTAGTTTGAGGTTGCTGTTGTTAGGTAGGCTGATGCCACGACACTGCAACCCAGGCAATAGAGTGAGACTCTGTCTCTAAAACAAAAGAAGTACAGGTTGGATGAGAGGGTTACTCTAGGTCTTTCCTGCAGTCCCTTACAGCTCTGATAGTAAGTAGTTCTTGGTGAGAGCACATCTAACCATTCGTGGATGAGCAGATTTTTCTCAGGAGGTTTAGGTCCATTTCCATGCCATAAAGTGGTATGCCTTGGTTTGCGTAATATTTCTGAAAGTGCCATGTTGTTATTTTGCCTGCCACATGCATTCTTTTTTATTATGTGTCACATTCTTAGTACCCATGGACGTTACTTTTTTAAGGAATTCCAATGTGAATTCTTTGTTACAGTAACCACCTGTTTGTTATTAATTATTCATTCCTGATATGTCTTAAAATTCTCATTTTCATATATGATTTATTTAAAATAAAGAAATAGTTTAAATTTATTTAAAATAAAGAAATTAGTACATAGACTAAAATATTGTAACATGAATCTATAGTCATCTTATTTCACTCATAGTCTTGGTTTTTTTGTTATCTATTTAACCACCTTATGTTCAAGCAAATTTATATACTATTATCAAAGTTTAGCTAAGCAGAAATTATATAGTAAAAATGATGCACACATCTCAAAATATATGCCAGATGTTTTTTTATTTAGTTGAGTATCTAAGATACTTGTACCCTTCATTCGTACCAAGTGTAATCTTGTCTTCCCCTATATTTAGTATCTTTCTCTCTTCCCATGGGGTCAATTGATGCAGTTATCTCAAAACAGCTAAAAACAAAAGGAAAGTACATTGTTTCATTTTGGAACAAGTAGTTGTGAAAAAGAAACAAAATACTACTTCTATTGTTGGGGGACAATTAGAACAAAGTCTGTTACATAATCACCTATAGTTTGCTTGTGAATTTACAAGTTTTTTGGCCTACGGTACACACATATTGTTTGCTTTTTTAATGTTTTGGATTGTGTTACACTTCTTTGTTGGACTGAGAGACAATAAGTTCCCTAAACTAATTGTTATACACATTTATTTAAACTAGAGTCTGGTAATAAAAGCACACCAGGGACTATGAATGCTGAGGAGGCAACAAAAATTTTGGCAGAAAGACGCCGCCTTGTTCGGGAACAAAGAGAAAAAGAGGAAGAAGAAAGGCTCCGGCAAGAAATGGAGCCAAGGTCAGTACAAAGTCATCCTTCCTGTACCATAAATCTTGGCTGGGGCCCAAATTTTGAAAGTCAAAATTTTACCCTCAAGTTATAAATACTCAAAGAGCAACTGACTTTTTCTTCAGTGAGGATCAGAAATTCCTCAGTGCCATCTAAACAAGTAAAGAAAGTGTAGGAAGCATTTGAAGCCCTTATAAATGTCTGAGCAAAGAGGACCCTGGTATGTGGTTGAGTAGTACAGTCCTTTTTAGACTCAATACATATTGTACCATTAAGTTTTATTAGGAGAATGCATAAAAATTATGTCCAGGGTCCAATCTCTTAGCTGCAGCACCAGAGTGATCACATAAGAGCATTTGTTTGTGTTCACTGGTGTCAATCCCATTGTTTATAAAAAACTTATAACTTGAGGATTTGTAAAACTGGAAATTATACTTATTCATGTTTTACTTTGGATGCTTTCCAATGATCTTTGTGACACCTGAATCTCATCATGCCAGTGAGTCTTTGCCGGAAGGACTTCCTGTGGAGGGAGCAAATCTCATGTACAGTTGTGTGCATTCGAACTCAAGCGAAAGGTTTCTTCCTCCTCCATCTTGTGGCCCATTTTATGTTGGGCCCTATAATGTAAACCTCCGTCCACTGGCTGCAAGGTATAGCAACAGTATTGACTTTGCTTTTAAGTATTAAGTGTTCTTTGAAATACAATCACATACTTTCCATATACTTTATATGGGTTTGGGAGAAAGGAGAAGAGGATATTGTGAATAGTAAAAAACCTATAACTTAATATTCTTCATTGCTTCATGTAAACAGAACTGATTAAGCATTTTTTTTTTTTTTTTTGAGACAGAGTCTCGCTTTGTCGTCCAGGCTAGAGTGAGTGCCGTGGCATCAGCCTAGCTCACAGCAACCTCAAACTCCTGGGCTCGAGCGATCCTTCTGCCTCAGCCTCCCGAGTAGCTGGGACTACAGGCATGCGCCACCATGCCCGGCTAATTTTTTTTTTTTCTATATATATCAGTTGGCCAATTAATTTCTTTCTATTTATAGTAGAGACGGGGTCTTGCTCTTGCTCAGGCTGGTTTTGAACTCCTGACCTTGAACAATCCGCCTGCCTTGGCCTCCCAAGAGCTAGGATTACAGGCGTGAGCCACCGCGCCCGGCCTGATTAAGCATTTGAAAGCACTAAATACTGGGGAACCACCAGACCCTCATTTAAATTACTCTGTCACCCCCACATGAGATTGAGTGTGAGCACATGTAAGCATGGCCTAAAACAGTTAAGGGATGATTATCTCATAGATGTGCATGTGTATGTTTTTTAAATGCAAACTAGTCCACTACCTGGTAGAAATCTTTTTCTACTCTTAAGGGCTAGTTTCCTCGGCTAGGCGCAGTGGCTCACACCTGTAATCTTAGCTCTCTGGGAGGTCGAGGCGGGCGGATTACTAAAGGTCAGTTCGAAACTACCCTGAGCAAGAGTGAGACCCGGTCTCTACTATAAATAGAAAGAAATTAATTGGCCAACTAATATATATAGAAAAAATTAGCTGGGCATAGTGGTGCATGCCTGTAGTCCCAGCTACTAGGGAGGCTGAGGCAGCAAGATTGCCTGAGCCCAGGAGTTTGAGGTTGCTATGAGCTAGGCTGATGCCATGGCACTCACTCTAGCCTGGGCAACAAAGCGAGACTCTTGTCTCAAAAAATAAAAGGGCTAGTTTCCTCAATTTAAAAAGGGTGGAATTGTGTAAATCCTGTGTAGTAACAACACAAAGTGTAGTGAATCTGGTATAAATATAAATTGTATTACTGTACATAAGGAATTTCACTATGAAAATTCAGTATTGCTAGCTGAATGTGGTAGCAAGCAAGATAAGTACTAAGAGTTATTTAAATACTCTCAGTGTCATTAGGGAAATCAAAGATGTGGCTGAGAAAGCAGTTGAAGGCCAAGCTGAAGAGTTCTCGAAACTTGAAGATGAGCAAACACAAAAGGATACTAAAAAGAAGAAAGGATGTCAGGATCAAGAAGACCAAGAAGTACTGCTGCAGGTTTGCTGACATGACAGTTTATCAGGGGATGAGAACCAGATCATAAAGTTCAGTTGGAACCCAAAGCAAAAATTTGTGTCTCTGAGAAAGGAGATGGGCATTTTCTGACTCTCTGGCTGTATTTTTATATTATAGTCTCCCTATTCCCCAATACCACTACAGGCCATTCTCAGCCACCCTCAGAAAATCCCAGAATGTTTTCCAATGGAAGAAGCAGAAAGCAGCAAATTATAGATTAACAGTTGTTTAGTCTGAAGTCTAAATTGCTTGCACAAATTAAACATCTGAGGTCAGTTTTCCTCATCTTGCATTCCGTGCTACCATAATAGCGCTCATAGGCCGGGCGCTGTGGCTCACGCCTGTAATCCTAGCTCTTGGGAGGCCGAGGCGGGCGGATTGCTCAAGGTCAGGAGTTCAAAACCAGCCTGAGCAAGAGTGAGACCCCGTCTCTACCATAAATAGAAAGAAATTAATTGGCCAACTGATATATATATAAAAAATTAGCTGGGCATGGTGGCGCATGCCTGTAGTCCCAGCTACCCGGGAGGCTGAGGCAGAAGGATCACTCGAGCCCAGGAGTTTGAGGTTGCTGTGAGCTAGGCTGACGCCACGGCACTCACTCTAGCCTGGGCAACAAAGCGAGACTCTGTCTCAAAAAAAAAAAAAAAAAAAAATAGCGCTCATAACTAACTGCACCCCCCACACACAGCCCAACAGATGAGAAAATAAAACATGAATACCTATGAAAGTTTAAAATCATTAAATTAACAAAGAAGAATGTCTCACCTATCTCAATTCAAAATCACCAGGTAAATTCCCAAACTGAGCTCAGACTATACTCATTTGAATTATTACCATAGCCCAATTTATATTATATTATTTTATTATATTTTATTCCCAGTTTTAGTGTATCATTCATCAGAATTGGTTACATGGCCATAAATGATTGTATTCGCTTGTATTCCTCAGGAAGGTACCTTTAAGAATCCTCCCCCAGGCCGGACGCTGTGGCTCACGCCTGTAATCCTAGCTCTTGGGAGGCCGAGGCGGGCGGATTGCTCAAGGTCAGGAGTTCAAAACCAGCCTGAGCAAGAGCGAGACCCCGTCTCTACTATAAATAGAAAGAAATTAATTGGCCAACTGATATATATATATAAAAAAAATTAGCTGGGCATGGTGGCGCATGCCTGTAGTCCCAGCTACCCGGGAGGCTGAGGCAGAAGGATCACTCGAGCCCAGGAGTTTGAGGTTGCTGTGAGCTAGGCTGACGCCACGGCACTCACTCTAGCCTGGGCAACAAAGCGAGACTCTGTCTCAATCCTCCCCCAGTACTTGTGAGAAATATAAGACTTTTGGCTCCTGTTGCAATGTTAATGGATAGATGCAATGTTAACGGAACTCCAATCATTTATATACTTTAAAGTAAGGTGATCTGATGTTCGTAATGATACATGGTCCTGAATCCTCAAGATAACATTTAGTCTAGTTTTGTGCGTTCTAACTAGTGCTTCGAAAACTGATAATCCATGAATGTCATATATATATAGGAACCTTCAATCAAAAAGTTACCTTTTGTTATGCTAGATAAAATTTTACTGTTTAATTTTTTAAATAGTGTTGTATGATGTTACTCAGATATATTGAGATTTAATGATACTTTTATACAAATTTCCTAGAAAAGGGACACCAAAATAAAGGCTCAAGAGGAAGCCAACAAACGCAAGAAGGAACATGAGAGAATTATGTTACAAAATTTACAAGAAAGATTAGAAAGAAAAAAGGTACTTGCTCTCTTTTTGGGGGGATTTGATTCTTTTTATAAAACAATGTTGGGTATATGATATCAGCACACATTTTTGGAAATCACAAATCAGGTACATGCTAGCCCCTGCTTGTTTTCCCACAGTAGGTACTTCTTCCTTATCTAAGGATCTGACCTCTGCTATATAGAAGGCTTTCCTCTTAGTGACCATACATACCTCTCCCTCATGGATCCTTGGTGGTCATTACAGTAATGCCACAGTATATCAAACCTCCGAAACAAAGCTTATTTGAACAGAATCACTCCTATCATGGTGGGGTTTGGTGGAAGTTAGAGTTTCTTCAAAGCTGGGATTGAAATTGCCACAACTGCATGGGAAGGAGCAGAGTGCAGGCCTCTCCGAGAGGCCAGGGCACAGGCTGTTTGTAAGGTGGGGATACACTGGCTCATCTGGGAGCCTTAAGGCCTCTGTTAGTAGATTGGACACCCCGAGGCAGCCAGGGAGCTGCAGCTCTCCTCACCTCCAGGGAAAGAAATATACACAGAAGAGGTCATTCTTATCCCTCCCTAAAACACATTCCTCCTCTACTGTCTGTCTTCTCTCTTTAGTAAAAAATCTCTAACAGTGTGGCATCTTTGAGGTATAGTATTTTCGTTAACATAGGCTTCATGAATGGTCTATTAAGACTAAAATCATATTATAAATGCTAATTGGTTTGCAGTATTATGTGCTTAGTGTAAGTAATGAATTTTCATGTATGCAAAATTAGTGAGATGTTATCATTTGGATGTTTGTGTTATGATAACAAGTACAACTGTCACCATTCAAGGCATTTTATAGCTGAAACCAGGTTCAGAAGAGGGAACCCATCTGTCACCCCAGGCCTTTTGTTGGTTAAGGCTATGGTTTTGGAGTAGTCCTGCCATTGTCCACCTCTGTGACTTGGAGATAATCAACTCCTTCAGGACCACTGTTTGGTTTTTAATCTGTTTTCATGTTTGAATTTTTATTTTCCTTTAAATAGAGAATTGAGGAAATTATGAAGCGGACGAGAAAGACAGATGTGAATGCCTCAAAGGTAGTCTCCGTACTCCTACAAGCAGTGTATAAGAATTCCTGCTGCTTCACATTCTTGCCAACTTTTTCATTTTTGCCGCTCTGATAGTAATGAGATAAAGTATCACATTTGTATTTTCCTAATTATTAAAAAAGTTGAGCATGTTTTTTTATCTTTACTTAGCATTCATGTTTTCTCTTTGTGAAGTGCTTCTTTAGGTCTTTTGCTAATCACAGAACTTTGGGTTGATTTGTCTTTTTCTTACTTATTTGTAATTCTTTAAATGTTCTAGACACTTCTGCTTTTTTGATTATGTGTTGCAGATTCCTTCTCCCAGTTTATGGCTTGTCTTTTCTTAATGTTGTCTTCTGCTGGATAGAAGCTCCTTGTTTCAATGTTGAATTTATCAGTATTTTCTGATGACTAATGAAGTCGGGCACCTTTTCCTGTGCTTACTGGCCTTTTGGAGATTCACTTTGATGAAGTACCTTTTCAAGTCGTTTGCCCATTTTCCTATTTTGTCTCCTGTCTTTTACTGATTTGTAGTTGTTACCTACTGTGGTTAGGAGTCCTTCCATATATGTATTGCAGGTTTCTCCTGGCATGCTGTAGTTTGCCTCACACTCTCTTAATGTCTTTTGATGAACTAGAAGTTTATTTTAATGAGCTCAAATTTAATCATTTTTTTTCCTTTATGGTGAGTGCTTTTGGGTTCTGTGTCATAATTATGTGTGTACCCCCTAGACTCACGTGCTTTGTACATTCTATGCTATAAGACTTTTTGTCTTTTTATAATTGCCCAGTCATAGTCACTCATATCATGAAGTAGCATGAGAATTTAGAAATGTCATTTCTAACAAGTGCTGGGAGTCACCATCTCAAAGTTCATTCAGCTCATGGACCTGGGAAGTTTTACCTCAAGCAGCAGCTGAAAACTTTTTAGGTATTCACTGATCAGCCCCGCCCTGCCTTAGTGAGGATTCCCAGCAGGCAGAAAATAAATGCCAACCCAATGTTCTAGTCCCTTGGCTCCTGCTCAGGGAAATCTTTCATTCTTGAGGGTCTTTCCTCAGCTGAAAGATGCAACTAAGGCCACCTGCCCCTATCCCCTGTTGATTCTTGGAGCCAGTTAAAGAGGTTAGATTTTTCACCTTTTAATTGAAATGATGAAAGTTAGTCATCAATCTAGCATTGAAATATGACTTCTTTGAAATTTTAAGCCAGGGTGGTTGAATATTAGATATAATCATATTTTCTTTTTAAATCATAGGCTGCACAAACATTTGGCAATGACACATACGAGGAGGATGAAGCTGACGATGAGGATGAGTCTGAAAGTGATGAGGACTCTCTTGATGAAATGTTTCCATCAGGTTTGCTTGCTCCTAATGTTTTTGTTAGTCAGCCTTTAGGAGCTTAACTCCCTAGGTTCATATACAGGAGCTTTTCTAGTTCTGAGCTATGTGGCTTTGGGCAGGTCACTTAACTTCTCTGTGCTCAGTTTTCCCATCTAAAAAAGGGGAAGCTAACGTCATTCTGGGGTGGACATGAGATTTCAATGAGATAAATCTGGGTAATGCTAAGCATGGTGCCTAACATGTGGTAAACACACAATAAATACCAACTGTTGCTGCTACTATTTTAAAGGCCATGCTAATAGACTATAGGTGGCAGCTCTTTCTCAGTTGAATGTGAAGATTGCTGGCATCTCATAGTTCATGAACTCAGAAGACATCTGTGATTGATGACAGGTGGAATTCAACTTTCTACCTTAGTAAGAAAAATTAAAATTGTGTCATTGACTCCCTTATGAGTAGGAACCACTTTATAGTAGCAGTAATTGGCATTGCAGAAAACACTATCTTTCCATATTTATCGTGCAACCAGACGTTCAACAGGTAAGTCAGGTCCTCTACTAGGTGCTGGGGATGCAGCCAAGGAGCCATAGCCATAGCCAGTGAGAAGACAGACATGAGCAAATGATGATATTGACATAAGATAATTGGATTCTTTTAACTCAATTTGATCAAAATACAACAAGAACATAGCAAAATAGAAGCCCCTTGGTCTGCCTGTGGGCACTGAGGAAAGCTGAAGATAGGGGGTAGCATTGGAGGTGAGACCAATTCAGAGGTGGAATTGGCTAAGTGGGTGATGGGGGGTGCATGAGAAGATGTGGCAGCCCTGCTTCTGGCGTATCATTCCTTCCTAGCAAGGGAAAGAGGACAAGTTCCTTCAGGGTAGCGGCTTGGTGCTTTAAGGGCAGGATGAGTGAGTGTGTTGGGCAGTGGCCTGGGCCCTGACTCAGGAAGGTGAAGCAGCTCGGGAGCTGATGGGTCTGCCTCCCTAGAGTACTGCTGCCTGACTCTTCCTTTTGGCGGGTATCACCACCCTCCCGGCCCCTGCCATCTTGTCAGGATCACAGCCTCCACTATTTCTTGACTTTGTCATTAAAACTCCAGTTTTAATTTAGTTCTTTCTTTTTTTCCTAGCCATGCAAAATGGCAGAGATTCACCTACCAAACTCAAAGCCAAGAAAATGTCACACAAACTGGTGTTTCTAGAAGCCAATACTGGCCAGGTTCGTAAAGAGCCAAAAATGTTTTTTAATGGCGATTTGAAAACCTTCAAACAAAAAAGCACGAAAGACCCTTTGACACAGATAAAAGCTTCAAGGTGAGTCACTCGGTGAAATTATCTAAATAAACATGGTGGAATTATGATTAGTATTCTTAGAATGATAAATGATATTATTGATTAAGCTCTTAATTTGTACCAAACACTATGTCAAACACTTAACAGAAACAAACTCAACCCCACGACAGCTTTGCTAGGGAAGGATCATCATCCCCATTTTGCAGACAAGGAAACTGAGGTGCAAAGAGGCTTCGGGGCACTGTATTTGCCCATCATCACACTACTAAAGGGCAGAACCCCAATTCAAACCCAGACACATCTGACTCCAAACTACTTTTGTTCACACTAGTTAATGTTGTGTCATAAAATCAGGGAAGGGAACGTTTATTAGATGGCTGCTGTATAGCAGGCATTTTATACTGCCTATTTTAATTCTCATTGCAACTCTGAGTTTGCTAGTAATATCCTCACTTTACATATGGGGAAACGGGTTCAGAAGTTAGGTCAGGAGAGCAGAAAGAGATTCTTGGGAAAGAACACTATTTGGGCAACTGCCTGAAAAGACATTAACCTGGAAACAGGAGTCTGGAAACAAGGTCCATGGAATTAGTAGTCTGCTGAGAGGCACAGTGATAGTGTGGAAAGAGCACTGGCCGTAGAAAGCCTGCACCAGTTCTCTAACTACAGCTTACTGGCTGTGTCCTTGACCAACTTGAGGGAGGGACAGAGTTCTTGGAGCCCTGTGTACTTAGCTACCCCTAGCCCCTGGTGCTTCAGTGGTACTCTAGGCCTTTCTAGAATATAATTTGAAAACCAGTGTGTTCTATGATCTCTTGGGTTTCTTTCAGCCTACCTGTTCTGTGATTCTGAAAGTGTATTTACTTCCAAAGCATTTCTTAGAAGCGAATTAAGGGATATACCTTCGTTAGCGAGGTTTGGTGGCACACATATGTAGTCCCAGTTACTCAAGAGGCTGAGGTAGGAGGATCACTTGAGCCCAGGAGTTTGAGGTTCCAGTGAGTTATGACAACACCACTGCACTCTAGCCCAGCCAATAGGGAGAGACGCTGTCTCAAAAAAAAAAGAAAATGACAGGGCTTCCTTCAACACTGAGCCTTGGTTTAAGGAATAATCAGGATTCTAACCAAAATATTTCTTTCCAGACCATCTACCAAAAGAACCAGACGCACAGCAAAAACTGGAAAAGTAAATGGATCCAACACCACCACCAGATCTTCCCTGAGTTTGAATTCAAAGCAGGAGTGGATCTGTGACAAGATGATGGACATCAGAAGTCACCCAGAAACATCTGTATCACATATCCCTCCTGACAGCCAGAAACACAATCTGAAGGATTCCATGACATTTTGCCGAAGTTCCCAGACACCTTTAGGTGACAAGAGAAGAAGCAAACCTGTTTCTCCCGATTCGGGTAAGGCCTCATCTCATCTCCTCTTTGCTTGAAAGGCAGTTGGCCTTGAACTTTCCCCTGCTTATGGTGGTCCCAAGGCAGTCTTTGCACTGTGTGTCTTTGTAAGAGAAGAAGACAGTCGTGGGTCTACAGCAGGCCTCCACAAACTATGGCCCGAGGGCCACATGCAGCCTGCCGAGGACATTTATCCGGCCTGCCGGGTGTTTTTGCTGCCGCTGCCTGTCCTGCTTAGCAGCCGACTCATCCCGGGCCCACAGTGCGCATGTGTGGAATGTGTGCCACGCTCTCCAATGGTCTGAGGGACAGTGAACTGGCCCCCTGTTTAAAAAGTTTGAGGACCCCCAGTCTGCAGGAATCATGTGGAAGAGTCTTCCATTAAGTTAGTTTTGAGAGAGTAGATGATTCTAAGTTTTATCTCCTGCATTTCCTGCCACCTGTAAAAAAAATATATTTTTTAAAACTCAGATTTCTCTGAGCTGTCGATCCACTAGCTGCTTGACAAACATGCAGATGGTCTTTTAGGGCAGAGGGTTAGGGAGGCCTTTGGAATTAGTCTCAGTGTTTGCGAAACCAAAAGGCCTTTGTTTTTCTTTCCTTGAGAAGCTCTTTTTGAAATTAAGAGAGCTTGGGCCCATTTGGGAGTTGGGGAAGTGGGGGACATTTATAAGAACACCGGTGTATCAACTCCAGGGGAACACCCAGGGTCCTGGGTCCTGGGTCCTGGGTCACATTGCCATGAGACCAGCATCTTGTTTACTACTCTTTCTTTTCTTTTTCCTTTTGTTCAGATGAGTAACCTTTCTGCAGCCTGGGAGATTAATACACCTTCCGCTAAGGATAGCTCAACCCCCAGGTCTATCCTCCAAAATTTTCCTGCTTCCAACTTTAACCTGGCAGAGGAAATGACCATCAAACAAAAAAAAAAAAGGAAAACATCAAAAGGTCACCTTGACATATATCTCAGAAGATGTTCATATATCTTATTCTCTTATGTCCACACAAGAGTTCTGAGTAAACATTCATTTTTGTTTTCCTTAAAAAATCACCATTGTCTCACGGTCTTGTGTTTTCCTACCGACGTGTGTGCTGGAGTGAGGGATGCTTTCCTAAAATGATAACTGTCAAGTTTCTTAAAGAATCTTACTGAAGGACTAATTCTTTTTCAGTATATATTTGAAATCTTAAAATAATGTTTTTTTCTGTTTACCAATGACAGTTTGAATGACTAAAATTTCACATTTGATCTCGTAGAGAACATAAGGGACTCAAGATTGCCCACAAGAGTTTTGTCAGATTTTCTTCTAATATACAATAATGAAGGTTGTACAATATAGTAAATTGTATTTTACCATTACATATGTATATTTTTAACTCTGCCGTCATCTGTGCCAGCAAGTGCAAAGGCACCGATACCCTCAAATGCTGGGAATCTTAGAGCAGTCAGCATCTTTTACGCTTTTTTCAGTATTTCTTTTGGGGGGTTATCTACAAAAATGTGTTATTTTTATTGTGTTCATAAAACAGTGATTATATTGTCTCTTGGAATATGTTTAATTCCTCTAAATGTTTAAAGTCTTTCTGCTGGTGCTCTCCAGTCCTGTTCTTCAGAGTGTTGGGCTTGAGACATGTAACCAAAATTCACTTGCCTTTCTCTAGCCACTGGCAGCCAGTGAGTACAGGAGCAGTGTTATTCTTCAGTCCCTGTGATGGGCACACAGTTGTGCACATGGATACACACACACGCACGTGTGCACACAGGATACATGATTCCATAAAACTCAAATCCAGATTAATTGTCTGAATGCTAATGAGTTTTCAGTGTTACATTGCAAATAGTTTGAAATAGGCCAGTGTTCCTTTTGGCCACTAGTCTTGGATTAGTAAAAGGAGATGGTAATTCTTTCTGATTTCCTAGTTCTTTGCTACTCCAAGTTCTGTACCTTTGTTACAGATTAGATAGAACAGGCTGCCTTAGGTTTAAAAACTATTTTTATACACTAGCTCTTTTATATAGAGGGTGGAGACAATCATCTAACAAATGAGTTTCTGATGTTTTTCTGCACAAATGCCACATGTTGAAACACTGTGTTACAGCTCCACATAAATGTGTGTTATATCAAATAAACTTTGAAGATGAAACAAGGTTTTTTTTTTATTATAATATTAAAAAAATGCACTGGTGCTTGTATAAAGGTGACACCAATTGTTAGCCAAGCTGTGAACACAGGCACCCAGCAAGTTCAAGAAATAGTAATTAAATCCTCTGATTTTCCTTTTCATCTAGTTGGTGATTTGGCAGAGATCCACCTCTTAAGACAGAAGGATGTGAGTTTTTGATCTTTGGTCTCCTTCCTGCAAATATTTCAATGCTTGTCACTCTTCCCTCTGGTGGCTCTGACCTGTAGTCAAGGCTGTATCTTTCTTTTTATTGTGGTAAAATTCACATGACCTCAAAGCCACCATTTTGACTATTTTAAAGTGTACATTCACAAGGTTGTGCAACTATTCCCACTGGCTAGTTCCAGAACATCTTCCTCACCCTGGAAAGAAACCCTGCACCATTCAAGGCAGTCACTCTCCTTCCCCCTCCCCCAGACCTTTTAAACCCCACATTTGGTGCTTGCCTTGAATGAGGAAAATCAACTTGCCTTTTAAAATTGGGATGTGCATGGTTGGGCAGTTATTGGACTCTTTTTTTTTTTTTTTTTTTTGAGACAGAGTCTCACTCTGTTGCCCTGGCTAGAGTGCCGTGTCATCAGCCTAGCTCACAGCAACCTCCAACTCCTGGGCTCAAGCAATCCTCCTGTCTCAGCTGGGACTACAGGCATGTGCCACCGTGCCCAGCTAATTTTCTCTATATATTGTTAGTTGGCCAATTAATTTCTTTCTATTTTTAGCAGAGATGGGGTCTCCCTCTTGCTCAGGCTGGTCTTGAACTCCTGAGCTCAAGTGATCCTCCTGCCTCGGCCTCCCAGAGTGCTAGGATTATAGGCGTGAGCCACCGCGCCCGGCCTGGACTCTTATTCTCATCTCCTAATGACATCACTGTTACTGTGAGTGGCAAAACAAATGTTCTCACTTGCCCATGAGTGTTTAGTTTTCAATCCTAAAATGTGATTTACTCCACTAGGTTTGTATTTTTGTAAGGCCAAGCCCTTATTTATCCTCAGTCTTTAGGGTCAGGTGTTTATGCGAATGGTAGCAGCCATTCCCCACAGAGCATTCTATATACATTTGAATCAGCACAAACTAGACACATCCCATCCCTATCAAAGGTACTATGTCCGTCCGTGTACCTTATCCAAGCTAGGAACTCTTCATTACCAAGTCTGGCGCAAGAGCCTGTTGATTCATCCGTTGGAACTGTGTGGGACCAGGGTGTTGCGGTTTACCAACTCCTGGGTGGTAGACACTGACCTAGCCTTCCCCTCCTGCATTGCTCCCCTCACATTTCCCTTCCCTGGATAGCCTTTTGTGTCCTCTGCACTGGGGGAAAGATCTGCTGGCCTCTACCAGCAGAGTCTGCAGATCAGCACATTTTTTATGCCTGTGTCATCAGGGACACTGGAAAGAAGCTTTTAGCAGCTCCAATCCCTAAAAAAACACAGGCAGTATGGAATACCGTAAAGAATGCTCGACAGGACCCTGAAGACCTGAATCCCAGCAGAGAGGGCTACTAGCTCAACGTGTGACTTTGTGCACGTTGTTTCCCCTCCCCCAGCCCTGTTCCTTGTATGTCAAATGAGGGCGCCTGTGTTAATCTCTGTGGCCCTTTCCATTCCGAGATTCCACCATTCTTGAGTGCCACTAACTCACTGTAGCCAGAGCCAGAGGATCCGGAGGCATAAACAGCAGCTAGGGCTGAGGAACCAGAACTTGGAGGTGACTGACTGCCTGTGATATTTTATCTTATCGGGGGTCAATTCCCTGTGTCACTTTCAGTGCCCCTCACCTCTCTGGTGCCTTGCCAACCTGGTTGGTTGAAACATGCCCCAGAAGGGCCTCCTTGCCTTTGGTCTCCCATCCCACCAATCCAGTTACAGTGTTTGCAGATGGGTCCTAGCCACCTGTTTCATTTCCCCAGCTGTGTTGTAATAACTATGGTTATGTTTACATGTGAGATATGAAGGGTACTTTATAGTCATCATTTAAAATGTTTACAACAACCTTACGAGGTATGGGTATTCACTTATATCTATGAGGACACTGAGATTTGTGGAGATTGGCATTTGTTCCAGGTCATACAACCAGAATGAGGCAGACCTGATTCTCAAACCCAAGTCTGTCTAACCTTGAAGCCAACATCTCACACTGCTTTGGGAGTGCACCTAGTGTCTTGTGGCTTGCAGGATTGGTCACAGACACCAGAGCACTGTCTTTGGTACTGAGGATAACATGTTTGCTAACATTTATTGAGTGCGTTTACTGGGTGCCAGGCACTCCACTAAGCACTTGTATTCACATGGGATTCTGCAAGGTAGGAATTTTAAGTCTCATTTTATAGGTGAAGAAATAAGCTCAGAGTGGTTAACTGGCCCAAGGCCTCGTGACTAGAAAGCAGCGGAACAGCCAGGATTTGAACCCTGGCAGCCTGGCTCTAAGAACCCACCCTGTGAACCACAAGTAGATACGTTCTTGATATCCGGATCCACTTCATTATGAGGGAGAAAATGTTTCTCTGCTGACAACTTGGCAAGTATAGAAATTTACCTTCATTGCTCCTGAGCCTAAGGTTGTCACTCTTAAAATTGTGTATTGAACAAACACAAGTGCCTTCTAAGTACTGAGCACTGCATGAGTTTCCTTACTGTGATTCATCTGTTTCTGTAACAATGCACTGTCACAAGTGATATGCTGGAGGTGTGCCCAGAGTGTGGCTTGGCACTAATTAGCTGTGTGACCTTAGGCAAGCTCCTTAACCTCTCTGAACTTCTGTTTTCTTTTCTTTTTTTTTTTTTGAGACAAAGTCTCACTTTGTTGCCCAGGCTAGAGTGAGTGCCGTGGCATCAACCTAGCTCACAGCAACCTCAAACTCCTGGGCTCAAGCAATCCTCCTGCCTCAGCCTCCCTAGTAGCTGGGACTACAGGCATGCGCCACCATGCACGGCTAATTTTTTTCTATATATTTATTAGTTGGCCTATTAATTTCTTTCTATTTATAGTAGAGACGGGGTCTTGCTCAGGCTGGTTTTGAACTCCTGACCTTGCTCAGGCTGATTTCGAACTCCTGACCTATAGCAATCTACCCACTTCGGCCTCCCAGAGTGCTAGGATTACAGGCGTGAGCCGCGCCTGGCCAACTTCTGTTTTCTTATCTGAAAAATGAGAACGGTAGTGCTGGTGCTGGCAGTGAGGATAGGCTATAGCGTGTGTAGGCCTGTAGAGGCTTGCTCCGTTAAGGGCAGGCATCGCGTGGCAAGCAACAGCTATGGGAGTGGGTAGACTCCCACAGGCCTCAGTGTCCTGGGGCAGCAGGTGGTGGAGGCCATCTGTTGGGAATATGGACCAAGTGGTAGAATAGTGGTACCAGGAACTTCAGGCAGTGTGGCTTTTCCCCAGCAGAGCTCAGGCCATCAGCTCAGGTTTTGCAGGCCAAGAGGGTAGAAGGGCTGAGTGAGGAGGGGAAAGAGCAGTTGAAGTGCTAGAGGCTAGACCCTAGGGCTGATAGGGAGGGAAGTCAGGGTAGGAAGGGACTGAGAGAAGCAGTTAAAGCAGTCTGTGGACTGGAGGGCAAGGAACTGTCTTAGTGAGAGTGATAGTTCCAGAAAGGGAAGGAGAGTTGGGTAGAGGAGGGTGAGTCTGGCTGCTGAGAAGGGCCAGGGCTTGGCTGAAATGGGGCAAACAGAGGTGGGGGCATTGGCCAAAGTCCTCAGTGAAGGGGTGGGGGAGCCTTTCCAACCCAGGCCCATCCCTCGGGGCTTCTTTTCTTGCTGCAGCCTCAGGAACTCAGCCTGCTCCGGGAGCCCAGGCGCACAGGGGCCGATGCTCTCAAATTCCCTAACCGCCCCAGGGCCCCAAATGACTAGACACCTGGTAGGTTTAAAGGTTTTAACAGCTAATATCTCTAGGGAGACACAAACAAGAGGGTGTTCCATTTTCTTAAAAATGCTCATGATTTTGGCCGCACGTGGTGGCTCGTGCCTGTAATCCTAGCACTCTGGGAGGCCAAGGTGGGAGGATCACTTGAGGTCAGGAGTTCCAGACCAGCCTGAGCAAGAGCGAGACCCCGTCTCTACTAAAAGTAGACGAAAAAATAGCCAGGCGTGGTGGTGCGAGCCTGTAGTTCCAGCTACTCGAGAGGCTGAGGCAGAAGGATGAGCCCAGGAGTATGGGGTTGCTGTGAGCTAGGCTGATGCCACGGCACTCTAGCTGGGGCAACAGAGTGAGACTGGCTCAAAAAAAAAAAAAATGTTCATGGTTTCTTGCTGACAGGTTTCGAGTCCCTTCTCAGAAGGCAAATATTAGCACCAAAAGGTTTTACCCTTTGCTCCTTGTGCCCCTCCCCACTGTGCCTGTAGCTGACATGAGGTGCCCTTTGATGAGGTGCCCTTAGGGCTTGTGGACCCTCCCACCGGGAGGAGAGTGTAGCACACACCCGCTGCATTGGCCTTCTGTGTTGTCTTGAAAGGACCACATGGGCATGAGCACGTTAGATGATCTGAGAACATGAGCAACCCAGGTGAACCAAATGCCCCAGTGTGTTGTGCTGATCTAGACGTGCCAGACCAACTTCCACCTCTGCCCACACCGTCCCCACCCCTCACCGCTAACTGAATTGAAGTACAGGGGCCCCAAAAAGCAGCATCCCCAATAAGCCACATCCTCTAGGAGGGCGAGGGTCTCACTGAGGCCAGAGGATGGAGGCAGCTGCAGGTGAGGAGATGGAGTTTTCACCTGGACCCTGGGCTCCAGAGGGCACCAGGGAAGGGGGCAATGAGGAGGCACCCAACCAGACGGGCCAAGATGGCTTCTCAGTGACACGCTTTATCTGAGATTCTCTCCCTAATCCCCACCATCCTGGCCAAAGAAAATCAATTCATCCCTTTCCAGCAATGTAAAAACCTAGGAAATGCTATTTCGGGCCAGAGTAGTTTCTGTTTTGTTTTGTTTTTCTTTTCTTTAACTGGACCAAAAAGTGTTATAGGTTTGGTTTGTTTGTAATTCCTATGCTCCATGCAATTGCACTAGACTGAGTATATTCTTTTATTATTATTTTATGTTTAATTTAAAATATTTTCATTTCTCTTTTTTTTTCTTCATTTTTTGCTTCAAATCTGGATGTTGCAGATTCTTAAAGGAAAAAAGTCACTCAGTTTTCTGGGTTGGTACTATTACCTTATAGTGATTCCACCAGGCAGAATTAACAGACAGGAGGCGAATTATTTATTTGCTGCTTTATTTCTGTAAGGATACACGGAAACGTTAGATAATAGCTAATGACAAAATGTAGAAATGAGGCATCAGCTTCTATAACCACACCTACAAGAATGTTAATATGTACTGTCATTACATGTTTACTTTTGATATTGTCTCATTATACTATGTAATATAATAATGTAGAATACAGTAAGTAGGTGATCCTGCATTTCAGGTAAGCAGTAGGTGGAATCCAGTTCTGCCTGTGAGGACGGTGGCCTCCCCACTCCCCCAGAGATCCAGCTAAGCTCTTGAGGAAAGTCCTAGGAATCACAAGAAAAGGGACTTACAGTCCTCATTAACACGTGAACAAAGAGCAGGCAACTACTATGTTACAAGGGACTCAACTAGTCACTGTTTTGAAATGTCAGATCCATGCTGATGACAGCCCTGGCGCCTGCTCAGCTACACCTCTAGAGTTTTATGGTTACTTCTATAGGATGAATTTCAACACTGCAGGAACATCTGAGGGGGGCTAGAAGATTTTCATGCAAGTTTCCGAACCCATAAAATATTTTGCTATTAATGAAAACAAAAAATATTAATTAAAAACAATAAAAAGGACAGCAGGATTAGTTTTGTTAAGCTTCCGAAAGTATCCGCTGTGACGATGTTCCTCTGAAACAGGCTCGTTTTCTCAGACCTGCCTACACTTTCCACATCACCTGCATGTTCCATGCTTTAAAGTTGGAACGCTCAGAAAACATGCCACACATGGAAATCAAAAGTTAGTACATAGGAAAGGTCAGTTTAGAATGACAGCTAAGTTCAAATGTTAATTTTCTGGAAATTCCTGTTAGTCATTTGAAAGCACAAAAGAACAGAAGGAAGGTAAGAGTTTTGATGTTAAAGAGTTAAAGAGTTAAACCATGCATGTCTGTAAGTTCTTTTCTGCTCACAGAAGAGGGTGAACAGTGAGTTGGAGCAGCCGCTGCAACTCTTGCGTGTCGTGTGACTACACAGTGGGTCCCAGCTGAGCCATGAAAGGCATCTCAGTGGGGGCTTTATCTCTTATGCTTCTTGGTTACATCACTAAGTGGCTAAATGGTTAGCACTTTTCTGCTCTATAAGAAACATGCAGAAGAGTCAATCTATCTAAGTTTTCGTTTTTTAACTGCAGCTGGAGAGAAATTAACTTTGCTGCAGGGTTGCTTTTTGCTAAATCCTAGTATGATCAACTGTGTGCCCTTATTTAAGTAATACTGTAAAATGGGAGAAAAGACAGAAGGAGCAACTTTAAAGAGGTAAAAGACCACTTTTCCCCTATAGATGGTATAGGGCAGAGAATAAGGACACAGAGAACAAGACTGAAATGCCATTTTACAGGACAGGAGCCCCTGTCAGTTTACAGCTTTTTGGCACAGTCAGGGCAATACACTTGCTCCTCATGGAAAACAAATCGCTTGTTGGCTAGATTCACGGAGCATTTTTTGCAGTGGAAGCAGTAGTCGTGCCAGGATTGTCCTTCATAGGCCACCACACTGGAGCCTTTACCAAACCCTGGGAAAAAACAAAAGAAAACAAGAGAGACAGCTGAATGAATACAGGTGAGGAAATCGTGATTCAGAGAGATAAAATGACGACTTGCCCTGTTTACAGATCTCCCCGTTCACAGATCGACAAGCACACAGAGCCAGTGTCTGCCTGGCTCCCAGCCCCCGCCTCTGCTCCATCGTGCACGGTCCCCCACGCTGCCACTGTCCCCCACGCCGCCGCGACCCTGCTACAGTTCTCCAGAACCTGAGAAGATGCCGGAGCTCAGCCAAGGGCTTCCCTGATTTAAAGACCCCACATTCCCATGCCACCGCGCTACTGCCCTGTGACGCGCACCGACCTCCCAGCATAACCAGTTTCTTTGATTTAGGTCAGGACCATGGCATCAAAGTGGCCACCAGGAGGCAAACTTGGGCTGTTCGTGGGGTGTGCACTTACCGGGCCTCGAGGAGCTGCTAAGCTTCGATTTTTTCTATAAAGAACCACCACCCACGAGGGACAAGTCCTCTCTCCACCCGGATGCCTGCCCCGGAGGTTGGCGCTGGGAAACAGGGTGAGAGGCAAGCGTTTCCCGTGGCACACTGGGGGCTTCCTAGCTTTAGAGACTGGGTGGCTCACTCTTGACACAGTCCTTTTCCCTGAGGATGGCAAAAGTCTTCTCAAATGTACATTTCAAGGCTCCCCGGGGAGATGGGAAAATTGGAGGCAGGGGAAAGGGCCCAGGGCACGTGGACCGCGGCCGCGAGATGAGGAATGACGTGATTAGCTTTGTTGATCGCAAAAAAAAAAAAAGGAAAAAAAAAACCTGCCAAAAGGCACCTCTGAACTAACTTTTAGCTATGGGGTGTTATGATCCCAGGTTATCGCTCTCCAGCCCCCCTCCCCCCCCACCCCTTTTTCCACCCTCCTTCCACCCCCTCCCCCGCAGAATCCCTTGCGAAGTGACAGTGTGGCTGTGGGTCTCAGGCTTGTGAACTCGGCACTGTTAAGTTAGTCAGCAGTAGTCAGGAAGTGTTCTGTATTGCAAAGGCTAGCCTGGCCTGGGGGACAAATCCAAGCACTTGGGGGGGCCTTTGGGACCACAACGGCAGGGAGAGAAGGGCGTTCTTTGGGAGCCTTTGTGGATGAAACCGACGACATAGGAAAATGAGAGATGGTTACCATGCGTAAAACCTAGCCTGGCAGACTTAGCAAGGACTCTTTAGCCTACCAGTGATGGGGTTCTTGCATCCAGCACACTTCTTGGCCACAAAGTTCTTGTAGCAATCCACGCAGTAATACTGGTCCTCCACAGCGGTGAAACGCTGCCCAGCCAGCTTCTTAGAGCAGGTAACACACACAAAGCAATCGGCATGCCAGGGCTGATCCTGGTAAGTGATTCCTCCAGATGTGATGGCCTAGACCAGGGAGTGTAGCACCGGATTCAGATTCAACAACCATTTTGTTGAATGCCTACTACGTGCCAGGCACCGTGCTGGGCGCTTTGGTATACAATATCTCATTTAATCTCCACAACAGCCATGGGAGGCAGGGGCTATTATTATCCCCACTTTACAGATGAAGACACCAAGGCTCAGAGAAGGCGAGCCCTTCTGCGAGGTTACACAGGAACTAAGTGGCAGAGCAGGCCTCTAGAGCCTGGCTGCCCGGCTCAGAGCACAGTGCGAGCCACCCGCGCCACCGGAGCAAGCGGGCACACCAACAGCCTGACTCGGCTGCGGCACTGCTTTGTAATCCCAGTTTCCTCATCTGTAAAACGAGAGTAATAATTCCTACGTCACAGGGCTGTCGTGAGGATGGAATGGGATAGTGTGTGTGCAAGTGCTCTGCAAACTGTCAAACACTTCTAGAAACAATGGTCAACACAGAACTCCCTGGAAAACGTACCTTGTTGCACTTCACACAATGCTTGGCAAACTTGGTCTCATGGCAAGTCACGCAGTAGAAGTTCTCCCCTTTCGGGAAGAAGCTTCCAGTTCCAATGACTTGCTTGCAGTTGCTGCAGGTGAAGCAGTCTTTGTGCCAGACGGACCCCTTGTACTCCACATTTTGATCTCCTGCAGGGAAAGCAATCGGATAGCCCCACTGACAGGCTCTGCAGGGGGCTGCATCCACTGGGCTCCCCTCCCAGGCCCTCTGGAGGTGAAGGGATGCAGGCCCTGCAGTTACTGGCCTCATGCCTCCAACTAACCTACCCACGTCCTCCTTGAAGTTGTGCCAACCCGGGATTCCTTCAGGGGCGGGGACCCCAGCATTACTATTTGGGGCTTCAATGCCTGATTCCCCACTCCCCCACCTCTACACCCTACATGCACTCAGAGATTAACTTGGGGACTGCCTGGCCCAGAGGAAGAATCCCACCCTGAGGAAGAAGCATGCTTCGATCACTTACTACGCCCAAATGAGAAAGCGCTACATACTGTTCACTTCATTCTCTTGCCACAGGCTGTTGTCGCCAGTGTTCTTTTGTCTCCGAGTGTGTGCGTGTGTGCGAGCATATATGTGTACGCATATATCCGTGTATGTATATGTGTACATATATATGCTAAAATCTCAAAGCAGCTCACAGCAACGTTAGCCCCACCGTGACAAGCAAGCCCGCGTCTCCCTCAGGGCCTCCTCCCTGGCAGCCCGGGGTAGGGGGAGGCAGTACCTGCCACAATGGCCTTGAAGCACCCCTTGCACTTGGGGGAATCCTCCCGAGTGGTGCAGTTGTTGCACAGGATCTTGCTGTCCTTGGCCACAAAAGTCTCATTGGCCAAGGGGTGAAGGCACTTGGAGCAGCGGAAGCAGGTGTCGTGCCAGAAGCGGTTCTTATAGTGCACTTCCTGGAAACCAAACAAGGGGGTAGGCGGTTGTGAGGGGCACCGGGGGACAGTGGCAGTAGTCCGCCCATCAGGCTGACTCTCTGGGGCTGACTAGTGAAACGACACAGTCATCCCTTACACCTGGGGGTGCCCAAGGTGACTGTTCTTATGAGTAACAAGAGGGATACCGAGGAGAAGATAAAAATCCTCACAATTCCCGAAATATTTAGAGCACAACCAAAAGAGCTGGCAAGGCCTCAGCACCCATCTAGTCCAGGCCCACATTAAACTGCTAGGGACACTATTGGCCTGGGGGCTGCAGGAGGCTTCTTCAAGGTGGCTGTGGGGATGGGGCAAATCACAAAGGCAGGCTGTTGCTGTAATGGTTGTGGGCAAAACTACACTCCGAAGCCCAGCCTGCCCATGGGCACGTGGAGACGCTGTTACCTTGGCGTCCGCACCGATGGGCTTGCGGCATTCCACGCAGGTGTTGGCGCAGAACTTGTCAAAGCACTTCAGGCAGCAGTGGTGGCCATCCTTCTCCACGTACTTCTTCCCTTGCAAGGCTTCCCGGCAATAGTGGCAATTGAACTTCTCAGCCATAGTGCCCACCTTGTAGCTGGTGGGACCTGTGGGGGCAAGTAGGCAGAACAAATGAGCCCTGGAAATGCCCGAGTGCCCTGCCGTGGTGGCTCCCAGAGGCACCTGTGCAATGCTGCATGTGGCCCAGAAAATCCTCAGACGTCTGGGGACCAGGACCCAGCTTCCCCTTCAGCCCAGCTGGCTACCAGGCACCAAGACAACAGACACTTGGCTATGAAGAAAGTGCCCCGTGGGGCCAGAAGGCCAATGACCAGTGACTCCCTGCAGAGATGGCAGAAAGCCCTGCTCAGACATACCACCTTGCTGATTTGCAAAGGACAGTGAGGGGGACAACTGGATCCAGGTTTGTGTTGGCTGGAGTTGCCAGATAGGGATTCCAGGAAGTACGGTGTGATGGAACAGGCAGGAAAGAAGAATTTTACACAAAGGAAGAGCGAGGGGCAGAGGCTCAAAGGGGTGGTGGGAAGGTAGGCGCCTATCTGCAGCAGCAGCTCCTCAGGGGAAGGACCTCTGGCAGCACTGGCAGCCTAGAGAAGGGGGCGGGCGCCCACCTCCTTGCAAGGCAGACGCCTTCCTGTCAGCTTTTGGCTCTTCCTCCATCACTTTTTAGAGGGGACAGTGTTCTCTGGAGGCTCCACATTCCTCCTATCTATAAAATTCTATTCATCTGAACAAAAACAGCCCACTCTACACCACACTAGGCACAAAAGCAAGCCTCATTCCTTTGTTTAAAATGTTTACATTTACTTAAAATCTGGCAGAAAAGTTTTTAATCCCTGAATAGACCCTAAAGAGTTTTGTCCAAGATAGTTCACCGACTTTTGAGGCCTGAGCAATATAGCAACAAAAGATTTCTAAAAATGGTATTCTCTGTTGGTACAGGCAAGTTTCACAACTGTGAATTATTTGTCACAAGGATGTGTGGTTTTGTGACCAAAATAAAATCCCTCTTGGGTCAAGCAAGTGAGGATCAATGTATTCACAGAAGAGTTACCATTTGGGACATTTGCTGTTTTAAAATGGCAATTTTCAAGTATAATCTGTAAAAAAAAAATGACCTTTAAAAAGTGCTAAGCTGATTATTCCAAGAATCCATTCCATTCCCTTCTTAGGAACGATCCTATTCCCTCCCCAAATCCCTCCCGGGTTGTGCCCTAGACAACACGCCTGCAATCCAAGCATTGCTAAGGCACTCTGCAGCCCCCTCTGCCAAGTCATTTCCTACGGAATCCTGCCACCAAAAAGTGAGGTTCTATTAGCTCTCAACTTCTTTAAACATATGCTAATTTGTTCCTCTCCCCTTGAAAAAGAAATTTACACGGGTAAATAAACAGCAATTATTTCATCTGTGCAGGAAACACAAGAACTGAGGCTAGTTTTTCAAACTATCCACAAACATGGTTCTTGTGCTAGCAAACATCCAGGGTGTAATTTAGAGAGAAAGAATAAGGGAAAAGAAAGGAGCAGTTGCCCGGTACTCACCGCTGCTCTTCCACTCACTGAACAGCCCCAAACTCCCACTTTGGGTTCCATTCCCAGTTTTTTTTTTATATATACAAACACATGTACAAGTTGTTTGGATCCTGTTGCCATGGGCAACCAAACAGCAGAGAGTGAGCTAAGGAAACCACACCCTGCGTCTCAGCACCCGCCTGGGCAAAGGCTGTTGAACTCTCACTCAGAACCCCTATTAATGCCTGAAGCCAGCCTCCAAACAAGGGACATGAGGCCACTGAACAGGCCACAGCGCCTTCTGCCTCCTCATGACACACACACAGAGCCCCCTCATCTCCAGACAGTTGGCAAGACAGTTGCTTGGGACAGTTATGTCACAGTTAAGAGACCTACCAAGACCAGGGAATGGCTCTTAACTTGCGCTTTTCCCTAAAAAGCAAGCTGGGATGTTCTCTTATGTAACTGGGTTACAAACAATGAACTCAAGACCTACCTCCTTGAACTATTCACTATTTATGTAAAGCAGCTTTTAAACTGCCTTTAGCCTCCCTGTCTACAGACCAAAGTACTGTCCCAGTGACATGTGGAAAATCACTCTCCTTAATCCATTCTTGCTGGTCTTTCCTGTGTCACATAAAATCCCTATCTTAGCTTTGCTATATTGAGATTGCTACCCTCAACAAACATTTGCTTTCTTGTGAAGAGCTGAGTTAAAAATCCAAATAAATCTCCAGGAACAGTAAATGCCAGGAAAGTAAGTTATCGGTGGATCCTAAATGCCATTTGGTAGGAAAAGAGAATTTGTAAGATTAGACAGCATTGGCTTACTTCGTGCCTAGTAACCATGGCTGGTTTAGTCCTTCAGAGACTACCTTCTTGACCATATTTGAAATCCCTCTATTTAGTATAAAACTTTGAACCTATTTATTTCAGTGTCACTCACTTTTAATATCTTTCAAAGCAGAAATGGATACCAAATATTTCTATATTAAAGTACTATACAGAGTCCCACCTAAGAGGAGTCCCACCTCTTGATATTTGAGTACCAGCTTTATGGTAAAAATAATAGGTATTAGTGTCACACAAAAGAAACAACACTAGAAAACACAACAAATTGCAGTCAGAGGTATTTAGAGGTTTTAAAGAGAAGGAAAACTGCATTACAGTTCACAGTACCTGAGAGATCTTACGTGCCAAGCCTTTCCCACTTTAAAGCCACATACTTTCTGAACTCTTAGGTTACCAATGCCAAGTTGCTCATTGGTTACTTTCATAGTTCTAGAACACAACTCACTCAGAGTTTCTAGGCATCCAGATGATAAAATAATCCATGGCTCACCAATGAACATGGAAGTACCAAAGTGTGTTGAAAATGTCATTCAGTGAAGCTGCTCACTACTGCATCATTCCTACAGTACAGGGTCTTAAACCAAGCAAAAAGAAAATTAAATGAATCAACCCCAAGTACCAATGAAAAGAGTCATCTCTGGGTATTTTTGAGCCCCAGTTTTAGGCGATATTATTTTTCCATCCTGTAGTATGAAAAATCCAGGGTCACCTTATATTCCCTACAACTATATACTTAAACCCAGAGTCTGAATGCAGTGGAGAAATAGATTTCAAAGGGCATATTCTTTTAGAATTGATTTCGACAATTGACCCTTTTTATGTGTGTGGAAACACTTATTAGTCAAGATAAAATAGGCACTTCTAGGAATGTTGGCTTTATTGCCTAAGTAAACGGGCTAGAAATAAAGTATGTTAACAATGTCTGTGTCACATTCATGAACTTTAATACTTTTTTTGAATACAACTAATTAAGTGGAACTTTGGGCAACCTGAATTAGCTCACTTCATGTTTTTCTAACTGTATGATTATTTGGTATAAAACTCTTTCAAACCCTCACACAGCGTGCTTAGGATGAAGCTGGAGTAACACATTCTTACTGGCAAGATACCAACCATACCCTAACTTTGCATGACAAAACATTTTGCTATCACTGATCTTCAAAGAGGTTAACAATTCTAAGAAACCAGCTTATATACATGACAATGCTGAGACGGATATGCAAAAATACTATTGAGTTGCAGTCCACATGCATTTGATCTACAGTTAAACTTTGCCTTCATATGAGGAAATGAAGGAAAGAAGTCTTTCCTTTCTTTTCCTTAGTTAGAAATGATAAGAGAGTAAGAAAAAAATGCATTTCACCTCTTCCTTTGGGCTCTCTTTTAGGGAATAGTTTTTTGTGTTTTTTTTTAATCCCCCTTAGCTATTTCTAAGTACATGAAATGTGAAGTCTTTTAACCTTCCCAAACTTCCAGATATGTTTGCCCTAACCTACTGCTGTTATCTGGGAAATGGCATGTCATCCATCATCAAATGAAACGCTTGCTACATATAATTACAACGCTTCTTCCCTCACCACATGTCTTTGTTGAGGACATGTTTGCCCTAGAATAGCCCTTTGACTAATTTTAACATCTCATCTTAGTGTAGTTCTCACTTGTACATAGTAGTAAGATTTCTCTATCATAGAAAAGTCTGCTAAATACACTAGGCGCTCTGGGTACCTAATCCAGGGCTTCTACAGAGTCGTCACTCAGTATATATCTGTTGGGTGACAGACACCATTAAGCTTCTAAAATTTTACTATGTGGATGGTCACTAAAAATGGATTTGGATTCAATGATCTGAGCCTCTATTTTGGCCATACGAAGCCCATTTCAGGGCAATACTGATTTCCTTTCTGTAAGGACTTCTCCCTTGTTCATGGAACTATTCTCCTCTGCTTTCTTGGACCTATGCACCTTAATGCAATACAAAATGCTGTTTCCTGATTTTAAAAACCATCTCACAAGACCCTAAGATGCCAAAGTCTAACCTACACCTTAGGGTCATATGAGCTGTCCCCTGATCTTCTAAGACAGAAACCGTTATTATAAAATATATTTAATAAAAGAAATTTTAGAAACTTACTTAGAATGCAGTTAGAAATGTGGCTGGGTGAACAGATTTTAAATATTTATTAAACTGGTAACCTGACTTTCTTTCTATGCCTGCTTCAAAAGATGTATCATTCCTTAATTAATAAACAAGCTTCTTTCAGAAAATTCCTGAACTACATCCAACATGCTAAGAGGGGCCTAAATAAACCTGAGTATCTCAATAAAAAGTTTTGGCTTTTAAATTTGTAAATAATTCTACCATCTTGCAATAAAGTGACAATTGAAACAAACAAACAAAAGTTTTGGCTTTCATTTAAATCATGTACACATACAAGTAATATACATTGCAATATTTGTTTTTTTTTTTACTATAAACCTCTCATTAGAGAAGATTTAGTTTGTATTTAGTAAGTCTTGCTTATGTTTTTATATGTATTTTTTTTCACATATTTCTTGGTAGTGGTTCATTGTTTTCTTCATACTCAAGTGCTCAAAATAAGAATATTTAAGGAGAAAGTTTAGGGACCTTACAGCAGCAGAGCTAAGCCTAAATAAAAAAAAAAAAAAAAAAAAAAGAAAGTGAATATTATGACTAGGCAGCATTTTTCTAACTATGTGCTTTCCCTGTGTGGTATAATATACAGTGTAAACAATGAACAGCAACCCAAATGGAAAAAATTTCAGGTTATTTCTGATCTGTTAATTGCTAAGTCTAATATACCAGTACATTAGTGACTCCACGGATAAATGTTGGCTTCTAAAGAAAGGGTATATTGCTTTCCTCAGAACATTCAACAAATGGAACGAAGCCTTAGCCGATGAATAGGACACTTGTGTAGCAAACATATTAACGCACCTGGAGGTGTTGTCAGACATTTGGGAATAAATACCTAAGTAGCTGCAATGAGATGGAGTTCATGAGTCATGGCTGAAAAGTAGTCTCTCATAGAATTTCTCAGAAAAATCAGAAAGTGTTTTTTCCCCCTTAAAAACAGAACATGTACAGAAGAATTCAACTTTATTAGCAACTTCACTGGTATGCTGCATTTAGGAAAAAAACATAAATCCTTTTCGGGTCACTAATGTACAAGTAACACCACATTTTACATTATGTCTATTATCAGGAAGGTTGGAGATAGATGATGAAACCAGAAATTACATGCTCCTGAACTTCCACTGGGCCAGATTCTATTCTTGTACCGTTCCATCCATGTACGAAGTTTTTCTTAATGTTGCACATGTTACATGCGGCACATTCTGTCTTTCACATGGGAAAAAAGCACTTCTGCCCCAGTAGCAAGAGAACATGTGTTTTCAGTTTCTCGAGTTGTGGCAAGTAGTAGGCAGTCATTTGGTGGTCATTAAAAGTACAAAACGTTCAGCTTCATCCTAAACCAAATCGTCTGACTACCATGTTTCAGTTATTTTAAGAAGCCAATCCAGTTTGATTACTCCCCTCACACCCTCCCCTCTCACTTTCCTTGTGAAGCCCCCTGGGCAGCAGCTGGTCAATGGAATTAATGACTGCATAATATGGCAAAGTACCTTCATTCCTTCTGCATCCCCATTCTGCTCCCCAACTTGAAAGGCCAAAGGGTAAAAAAATTCAACCTACATAATTTTGCAGACTGAAGGTTTTCAATGTCAAAAAGTAGACATTTTGGGCTGGGCACGGTGGCTCACGCCTGTAATCCTAGCACTGTGGGAGGCCGAAGTAGGCAGATTGCTCGAGGTCAGGAGTTCGAAACCAGCCTGAACAAAAGCGAGACCCCGTCTCTACTAAAAATAGAAAGAAATTAATTGGCCAGCTAAAAATATATAGAAAAATTTACCCGGGCATGGTGGTGCATGCCTGTAGTACCAGCTGCTCAGGAGGCTGAGGCATAAGGATCGCCTGAGCCCAGGAGTTTGAGGTGCCGTGAGCTAGGCTGATGCCACAACACTCTAGCCTGGGCAACAGAATGAGACTCTGTCTCAAAAAAAAAAAAAAAAAAAAAATATATATATATATACATTTTGTTCATGAATTGTGCTCTCAGTATATGGATGGTTACTAAAAATGGATTCTTATCCAATTATCAGAGCCTTTGTTTTGGCCATAAATTTCAGGGTAACACTGATTTTCTCTCTGTGAGGACTTCTCTCTCTTTCATGGACCTATTCTCTGCTTTTGTGGGTTCATAGATCTATGAACCTAATGCAATACAAAATGCTATTTCCTGATTTAAAAAGTCACCTAAAAGGTGTCAATAATTGGTCTAATTTAACCACAGTTACAGCCTCCAGATTTATATATGCAATAATGATGTAAGCATTTGGTGCAATTTAAAACCAAAGTTGGGTATGCTGTAATATGTCACCTTTAAACTTATTTTCCTATCCTATCACTTAATTAGTAAATATAATGGTGAGTTACTCTACCAGATATCATACATTCAAGGTCCATTAGGACAACTAGTACAGCTGACTAGTTTGCTTACACCCAGAGAATGTGTACGTTGGCTGATAACCACAATCTCAGGCATGTGGAACCATGTTTGTAAAACGGCTCCTGGGGGTAGGGGAAAATAAAACCCCAACCAGACAGCTTTTGAATGCTTTGGAACAAGGAAGGCATTACATATTAATTCATTAAAGTAGGGAATTCTATTGCAGCATATTTGCTTTAAAATACCAAAAGGAGAAATTTCTAAAAGTATCTGCATTGCTTATAAATATCAACAGGCAACTACAAGTTTTCAAAAATAATTTTTCCAAAAACTGCCTCCGATAATTACTCTGTCCCTTAATCTGAAAGCTGGGAGACAGGACGAAATGCCTGGTTCCTACCCAACTGTCTGACCTCACTAGCTCCAAGAGAGGGAACTGTTACTTAGGCAGAGGGCAGCAGGACCACAGCCACCCTCCTGGCTTCAGAGAACTGGGCAGTTGTCTATCAGCCCCTATTCCCTGGGTGTCTTGTCTATGGCCAAAGGGCT